TTCCAAAATATCAATTATTCTGTCATCAAACAAAAATAATTAAATTTGAATTTGATTCTCAAGTTTTGCGTCTTTACTTTGGTCAACACTGCTAAAATTACGAGTTCGAAAAATTTTATAACCCGTCATTTGTTTGTGATTTTTTTAGAAAAATTATTTTATTGATATTTATTCATAAATTTTTATTTCAAATAATTAATGGGATTTGACAAATCCTTAGATACATAAACAACGCACTATAGAAAACATCTGTGTAGAGGATTTTGGTTTCAAAGTTGTCGGAGTCCTGGAGTTGTTAAGCGGATATAACTCCTCACTGAAGCGGAGTCAAATTCTAACCGATCCGGCTTCGGATATGATAAGCCCATCTATAATTCATACACACATCCCCTTTTTCTGAGGTAGGGTAGGGCGGGGCTAGTTGAGCATAGGGGCAAGTTGGGCAATCAAAATATCTCGAAAACTATTCACCATCCATTTAGGCATTATATGGAGGAAAGATTGAGGTTTGGGATAAATAGACATCCCGCAATCGCTAGTAGCCGCTGGACAAATGAGTGAGGCTCACGGGCGTTTTGTTTATTTTGAGACCAAAAAGTAAAAAAGTCATTCATCACGAGTTTTCGTCTGGTTTAGTCAAATGTTATTTATTTTTAACCAGGTAAATCTTATTCTTCCATATAATTATAGTACTTTTAATATGCACAGAGATTCTGGGTATAATTCTCACGGTTTTTTTAAAAACTCAATTTTATTTTGAAATTCCGAGTTGGGGTTAGTTGAGCATAGTTGCTAAACTTGTTCTGTCACTAAGACAATTACCATTAACTTCCAGAAATTGATTATTATTTTTAAGATTTAAGCTAAGTTTATGAGTAATGATATAAAGAAATAATGATTTTAAACCAAAATACTGAATATAATGGTAAAATAATTCCTAAGTTATTTAATCGTTAATTATTCAAAGCAAATTACTATAAGTTTTGTTTTCTCTGTTAATAAAGACTATAAATAAAGAACTGGTTATTAAAAACTTATTTTATTTCATCACTAATCGACATTGAACCTATAATTTTATTATACTTTTTTAGTGCTCAACTTGCCCCACCTATGGGGTACATTGAGCATACTTGACTTTTTGCATTTAAACAGCTGTAGCTTTTAAATTTTACCTATTACCAAAAACTAGTATTAACACTTTTGTTAAGCGATAAACAACAAATCCATTAAGCCGTATAGCAATTTATTGAGACTTTTCATTGAGGAGCTACATCCGTTAAAGTAAAAATTTGCTCAACTAGCCCCGCCCTACCCTATTTAAACGATTGCAATAACTTATCCTACGGGAAGTTAAATGGGCAAAAAATTTTTTGCAATTTTAGTGTTTTTATATGTAAGTTAAACTGTTTATTTAAAAACAATACTGCTCAAGTCAAGATCTATGCGTATATTTCTACCAAAATATTTTTTCAAACATAATAGAATTTATCATTCATATATTTGCATTTGATGATCACAAAAATTCTTGTAGCATTTTATAAAATGTTTTACATGATCAATATTAAACAAATAGAAAAATACATATACTAATTATGCATGACTAATTGTACTATAACAATTAGTCAATGACATATTCGCATCTATTTCCTTTCATTATATTGTTTTATAATCTACTAATATAAAATTTAAATTTGTGTCATTATTAAAATAGTAACACGTAAGATTATTCGGAAAGTAATTTTGTTTTTTCATAATGAATCGCATGCAATAGTTTTTGAATGGTGTGCCCCCATAATTGTAGAGAGCAAAAAGTAGCATTTAGAAAATATTTTACTTTTTACTACAGAATGGGCAAAAAGCCAAATTGACCTATCTGTATAAAGAAGATGTGTGACAGTACATAGTGTAAATAAATGTTTAGCATACAAAAATTACATATCAAAATGTCTAAAAAAACGTAATTACTTTCCGCAGAACCTAATCATAAATATAAATAGTACAGATTAGTGTGTGTCATAAGTATAATTATAGTAACTATAATTAGTACAAATTTTATAGTAATTATCTTCCGAGGTATTACATAATTGTGCTTATTACAATATGCTATTTGTAATTTTTCTTTGTGCAATCACCCGGATTAGAACAGTAACGTAACAGTTACGAAACAAGTTTATAACATACAAATATACATTTTATTAGGTACATGTAAACTTTACTTTGAAGAACGTATATTTTAAAACAGTGCATTATTTTACTTTTACTTTGAGTGTGGTTTATAAGTTTTCTGACTACTAAACCTGTTTTAAATTCTACATTTTTTTACGATATCATCCTTTTTATATTTTAAGTTTTGCATTTTGAAATCTACCACTTTTTTAAGTAATGTTCGAAAAATGTAAACAAATTGTAACAGTTTGAAAACATCTAATATGCTTGTATAGGAGTTTTCACATTTCTAACTTGTATATTTTAATGCTTTGCTTTGTGTGATCTTTATTTTGAAACCTTGCATTTCTGGATCCAGGAACACTCAAAGATCAGGCTTTGCAGTTTTTGATTTTTCATGTTGCATAAGTTTTATACTTTGCTCTATTTTAGTATTGTATATTAAAAATTTAAAAAAATATTTTTTTACATATAGTTGCTTTAAAAATTCTATTTTAAAATTTTCAGAATGCAAACGAATATTTTAAAGAATTTTTTTAAAGAAAAATATTCTTTTAAATATAGTTGCTTTAAAAATTCTATTTTAAAATTTTTAGAATGCAAACGAATATTTTAAAGAATTTTGTTTTAAAACAGTCGTATTATATGTAAAACTTAACTTTCATATAAAATACAATAATAAGTAACAATCCTGTAACATAACTGATGCAAACTGTTCTTTCCGAGTGTCGCGTACTTTACGATTACACTTAAACATTATTTATATATACTAGGACACTTTATTTTATCGACAATAATTATAACGGCTTACTTAATCATTTATTTGTGTTACCTTCATAGTCAATAACAATATACTATATGTGCAATAAATTATGTTAGTAATTTTAGTCCAGTCATTTGGTGTAAAAAAAGCTGTTGCCGGTAAATTAGGAAACCTCATAGATTTCAATGTGCTGTTTACGAATTTCACATTTGCCGCAAAAACTACCAAATGACGGGACTATTTATCGCCATTGAACCAAAGTAATTCGCTGAATTGGTTCTAAAGCAATTTTTGTTAAGTGATGATTTTTGCATTTATATATTATATAGCTCACAATGTTTGAAGCGTTCTTCCAATGCAAATAAAATATCTATGCATATTTGAAGTAAAACTTGACATTTAATATTATATGTACAATATTAGTTAAATATTGTTTTTAGAATATACCGTTCCAAGTTATAACAAAGATTACAGATATACTGTTATATGTTATTACATATATATTGTGAACAGTAAAAGATAGGTAACCAATATTGTTGCACTAACTAAATGCATTTTGCATGCCTTGTATTTGAGTTAAGTAATATTAAAATTAATCTTGGGTTTATTTAACTTTCGTTCTAGTATTTCGGTAATAATTGAAATAAAATATAAAAGTTATGAAATATATAATTTATAAATGCACAAATATATAACCGTATGAAGTGTACATATATATGGGTCTATTCTCGGATACACATGAATCTAAAAAATGTTTGTAAAAAGAAGCCAAGTACTAGTCTTTTGATATGAGTGTTGATATTATTATTGATGGTCTAATAAAAGAATCGTTTACAGGAATGTCAGGGAACTGTAATCTTTAGCTCACGATTACCTGGTTAGGTAATACGAACTTTTCAGAATTAGCTTTCAAAAAGTCGTCCACATTTTTAGTTTCTTTTTGCAAACTGTCTGTTGAAGTTGTAATCAAAAACTAAATTTATATTTGGCTCGGCTTAGGGATGAATTTTAAATAAGATACTTTGCTGAAAAAACCGTACCTCTGAAATGAATTCTGATGTCCCATGCGTTGACCCAAAAATAAGGGTTGAATGTTGAAAAATCGTTTAGGGGAGGTCCCAGGGGATGAACCACGGGCATGGGTGAATTGGCTTTCTAAAGTGGGGGTCGGTTATACATTTGGACGCGATTGGGGCACTCTAAATGGGTCAAAATTGCACGAGACATCAGAATTCATTTCAAAGGTATGGATTTTTCAGCATTTCTTATTTTGATCTCTAGTATCAGAAAATCATGTGTGCCTAAGCGACTTTTTTGACCCATACAAGTCGAGCCGCTCTAACAATAAAAGACAAAGAAAAGACTTTATTATGGGAAATTTCATGACCGATAATTGTGTTATCATTGTGTATAAGTGTGTTATCATTGAAGCCAAATTACATATGATGATTTACTTCAAGTGCGGACATTATGCCGCTACTAAGTATACAAAATAATTTTAGCTTAGGTACTTATAACATTTTTCTATTTTTACTAATTACGGTTTGCATATAAATAAATAAAAAAATAATAAATATTACAAAAAGTGTAATAGCAATTTTCGGTGACATATTTAATTTTATATTGTAACACAAAGATGGCATAAAACAGCTTAAAATAACATGTATCGCAGACCATTGCACTTACCAAAATGCTACCCATGAATTATAGTATTATCTTGACATTTTCATTTTCGACGTGCTATTTAAAACCATATGTATAACTTTTTGGCAACCCAATTTTAAAATTTTGTGGAGTAGAGTTAGAAAAAAAAATATACGCACCGAGAGCTATAGCTAATCTTTACAATTATTTATTTTGGACTTATTATGTTTGAGACGCGTTATTTGGGATATGAAAAATACGTATGTTATCCAAGAAAATGCCCAATTATATACACTTTACACCAGAAGATGTTATTTTTCGTTTCAGGATAATATATCATTTTAGATACAAATATGTATATTATCCTATAATTTTTAACAAAATACAATCTAATAAATAATATAATTATAAGACAATGGGATTCAAACTATTGACTTTTATTAAAACTAAGTGCGGTTCTAAGTTGTTTTCGGATTCTCGGGCTCATCCATTTCGTGTGTCCACTCATCAAAGAATTCGCATTTGCAGAAACGCCTTCGTCCACATCGTCTGCCTCAGTTTTTATTTCCATTTTCTATATTGAAAAAGTATTCTAAGCATTAAAAAAACAGAATATACAAATGAACTAAAGATATTTTTTATCAATTCGGTTCTCAGAACTTAAATACTTCTTTCATTGGTCTGATAAGTCAAATAGTTAATAGGGTGTCAAATGGTATAAATTGCAAGTTATTTATATTTTTTATATGAATGTTGTTTTTTAACTTCCCGAAGGAGAAGTTTATGTTTTCATCATAAAATCCGAATTGCTAATTTTATGTTTTCTCGACGTTTCAAGCCATTCTGAATCGAATGACACCAAATTTGGAAAAAGTATGTGTGTGTGTATCTGTAAATTCAAAAATTTAAAAGCCACTCGATGTATCTCGATGAGGACTATTGTTTGTCAAGTTCTTTTTAAATCAGTTTCTTTATAAATCGCAGAAAAGTGAAAAATTTTTCGTCTACGTTTTAGCCCGCAATTCTGAATCGATTTTGAAAATTCAAAAACCGTTCGAAAGATATTGGTTGGGAATCGTGCTGATTAGTTTTTGGTAAAGATCGAACGATAGTGTACTTGGTCTTGAACATAGTAAGCCATTAAAGTCCTACGGAAACTGGTTCAATTATAATTATTGATTAATTAAAATTATTGATTTTTGAAAATTTGCTTTTAGAAAATACTCCGAGTTAACGTGTTCGTTCGTTCGTTTTCAATTATGTGTAATAAATCCACTCGGAATAGTTATAATCATTCATAAAGTAATTTATTTTTTATTGATTAAGTCGATTATTTACACATATCGGGAAGTTCATGTAAATTGCTTCAAGGCTAAATACCAAACCAACTAGTTTAAATATTATTTTATTACCGATTAATACTTATCGGTAAAGGTGTATACAATTTGTATTATCAAATAAAATATTTTTTTCAGCATAATAAAAATATCTACGTGTATTTAAGAATATCTGATCTTCTCAGTTAGGGTAATTTAGTATTTAATATCAAAATTTACATAAGAGAAAGTTGTAGAACGTAGCGTAAAGTAAAATGCATGAATATAGTGAGCGTTACAAAATTAAACGGCAAAAAGATTTATTCTTACAAAATAGTTGTAGAATAGCATATATAATTTACATGCATCACAATTATAATATTCAACAAGCCTATTCACCTTTAATTTAATCATTTTTACCTGAACTATCAGTCTTAAGAGTTGATGTTGAACTTCTAATGTAGTTGTAATCTCTTTCAGTCTTCTCTTCTGCTTTTCTAATTCGGTCGTAACGTAGTCTTCATGATTTTCCAAAACCATTTCTAATCCTAAACATAAAATATTCGTATAGATTATCTTGTTATAGATAATTTAGTTTTGGATGCAATTAGTCCAATGATTTAACATTTGTAATCAATGAATATAATAATGGTGTTCAAATATTCTATTTTATAATAAGATTTTAAAATCTATCGTAGGTATGAAGAGGTTGCTGGAAAATATTATGAATCTGTTCGGAAAGTAATTTCGTAACCCAATGTCATACTTAAGCCCTTCAACTATTAGATGATTTGAAAGCTTATACATTAAGATTTATGTGTGAAATATTTTAAACAATCATACGTAATAGTTTTTGAATGGTACCTCTATAAATACGGAAAGAAGTCAGCGGAATTTTCTTTCTGTTTTGCTACAAGAAAAGTAAAAATGATGTTTTAAGCCAGAATGAAATTGACAGATGTGTTTAAAAAAAATGTATTGGAAGTACGACACTGCTAGAACTGGTTTGTTAAATTTTGTTTCAGATTTTTGAAGTAAAACTTCTTTAGGCGCGATTAAGGTGTAAATCGTCATTCGCTCTCGATGAGATCATTTCTTTACGGGTCGATTGTGATTAGCCGTCGTGTATGTGAATAGAATTCAGTCGTTGTATGCGTACCGAAATCAACGTTGTATGCGTACTGGCATCAATGCTGTATGGGTACCGATATCAACAAGGAAATCGGCATAAATAAATAAATATTTTAAAGGTACATCGTAGTACAAATCTTGATTTAATGAAAAATGCCCGAATAAGAAGAACATTTTACCCTGTTCCTTGAAAATAATAAAACAAATTAAACATTTAGACTGTGTACTAAACGTAAGATTATTGATTAGAAATTATTTCTATATTATTCGTAGTTTCTATAAATTTTTGAAGTTATTAAAATGAAAAATATTTTTAGGCAAGACAGATATTACAGATGTTCAAAGAATGAGATTTTATCGCCAGCGAAAAATTAAAAAAATACAAGCAGTCAATGAATGTATGTTAATTTTAATTACATGAAGTTCCTCAAACACAATTACATGATGAGTGACGTTGAAAAAACAATATTTGTTTAGGCGTTTTTTAACATAATCCACTGTGTGAACAAATACTATAGAATTTATTAATCAGCAATTACTTCATTTCTTTAATGAAGGTTTATTTCTAATTGCTAATTACAATGACAAACCGATCAGCGACGAAGTCATATTTGAAGTATGACTTTTATTACATTATTGTTTTTTGAATATTATACATATATTTTTAATGCTTTTATAAATATATATGTTATAATTTATCATTATATAAATGTGTATAATGGTTAACACTAATAAATGTGTGCATCACGAGTGTAACCATATTACTAATAAACATTATTCAAAATTGTTATATGATGTATTTATTTTTACTTAAATGTCATCTTGTACAGTATCAAATAAGTTTTACTTTAATCGCGTGTTAACCTTAACGCGCACTCTTTTTTTCAAAGATTCATGATGATCGATTGAGGCTAAAAAAGACGCAAAAAATGCACTAGTTGATGCAAAACGGCAAATAACAACAAATGAGATCGCATTGAAATTGAATTTAACAAATTCAACGGCTTATGCCCACTTGAAAGGTCTTGAATGTGGATCAACAGGTATTGATTGGTTCTGATCTAGACAAGGTCTGATGTATTGTCAACGCGCAACATCACAAATGTTTGGTCAATCGCCAAAAGCTTTTCCAGCTTGAATGGCACACAATGCCACAGCCAGTATATTATCCATACCTGGTGTTATCGGACAATAATTTGTTCCGATTACTACATTTTTTTTGTCGGTAATACCTTCACCTCAAATAGAAAGGTTGAAAAACACCTTTATCCGTTATTTGTCAATAACAACAAAAAAAAAATTGGTTCCGCAATTATGCTACTACCAGAAATGAGACAAAGTAATATTGACCAAAACAGACAGAATATAATTTGTTACAAAAAATGACTTATCAAAACGTCTATAAAACGAAATTACTTTCTGAATGATACAATAAATGTTACAATTATTGCAAAAGAGTGTCAGTAAATAAAAAATAAAATTGTCAAATATTAATAGTCGTTTGGCTATATTTTATATATTAAGTTAATAATAATAGCAGCTGAATATTTTAACAAGCAACACTATCATATACCTTCATCCGTAAATGGATTGCTGAACCATTTTCTCAGAATGGAATCCAAAAACCCAAGCTTGCTCTTAGTGTCATTAGGATACTCTATAAGCTCTATCTTATCGAGTTTTTCTAGAAGTATCTGAGGTAATTTGCTTTCTAATTCCGTGTGTAAAACGACCTATAAATAACAGATGAAAGAATATTTTTTTATCAAGTTAGGTACGTCAAGATTCTTTTTCTATCGCTTATTTGCAGAGAAGAAGAAACTTTGCAGGATAAGCCATAGCACAAAACGGAACTTAGATCCAGCAAATTGTTGAAGAACATTTTTTATTCAATATGCAATTTATTCGTATATTCAATACAAATAATATTATACTAAAAATATATTGTATTAAAAGTGAAGGAATTTATTCTAAAAGCATTTTTTGTACTAGAACCGACATCGGAAAATATTTTGCGAATTATCTAATGTCGCTGCTCCAACGTTTTCTAATAAAACCTTTTATCAATTCTGTTTAAACAAAAGGTTAGGTCTCACTAACCAGTAATTGAATTTGTCATTATATAGTTTAGTATTTTTTTAGATGTTTCACATTTTATAAAAAAATCATCTTTCACACGATTACTGTAAAATCGTTATTAGTAAAACATTATTGTTTTAAATTATGAAATTTAATAATTAACGTATTGTATAATTATTGTTGAATAAAATATTTTCTAGTAAAAACTAAGTAAAAACAAAATAAAATTCAAAGCTATAAAGCTGAAGTCTTCAAATTTCGATAAAAATATAAAACCTTAAAAACAAATAAAATGCATTTAAAAACTTCTTTATGGAATATACAGAAAGCCACATGAGCAAAATCTAAAATATAATTAAATAAATAAAAACAAAACTAAAAACCAGAGAAACTACAAAGAGGCCAGACTATATATTATACAAAATCTTACTAAATAAGAATCTAAAAGAAACAAAACCTAGAACTTATAAAATTTTAATAATAATTTACCTGCATGGCCAATCGTTTCAGCTGAGCATTTCTTCTCACAGATTCGATATCACCGACTGCCAAACCAATAAGCAGATTCATCAGCAGAATCGGCATCAAAACCATGAAAATTGCTGAAATTTATGATAAATTAGAATCTAAACTCCAAAATCATAATAAAGATTATGTGTGTGTTATCGCTTTATATTTCTATAAAAATCAATAAAATTGCTTAATTAAACAATTAAAGAGTTATAAATCAATGAAAAAAATCAATATGTACCAAACCAATAAAAAATAAGCACTAAAGACATTGTTTATTAAAAAAAAGACAAAACCACAAATAAAACTAGTTGGTATTGGTATTTTGCCTTGAGGCAAGTTACATGAACTTCCCGATATGTGTAAATAATCGACTTAAGCAATAAAAAATAAATTAATTTATGAGTGATTAAAAGTATTCGAAGTAGATTTATTACACATTAATGAAAATGAACGAACACGTTAACTCAGAGTATTTTCTAAAAACATTTTTTTTGAAATCAATCATTTTTTTATAATTGAACCAGTTTCCGTAGGACTTTAATGATTTATATTAGTATGTTTATTAAGACCAAATACTCTATCGTTATACCAAGTAAGTAAATCGTCTAATTTTAATTTTAACAAAAACTACTCATTTTCTCAAACTTTGATGAATTTTTAAAATTAAACTACTTGTCGTAAGGCCGTAATATTTTAGTATGTTTTATAAGAGCATAAAATATATCGCCAAAAAAGTTCCATAAAAAATGTATTAATTTTTTTTTCAACAGTTAATTACAAGAAAACGGCTCGGTAGATTTTCACCTAAAACTGATCATCAGTATCATTCTCAACTAATATCTTTCGAACAGTTTTTGACTTTTTAAAATCGATTCGGTAGTATGAGCTTAAATGTGAACAAAAAGTTCAACACTTTTTTCAAAATTACAAGGAAACGGCTCGGCCGATCGTCGCACAAAGCTGACAATCGACAGGCCTCATCGAGAACATCAAATGGCTTTTAAATTTCTAAAAACGGTTCAGGCGTTTTTGAGCAAACGTCGATGAAAGGTCTAATTTTGACAAATGCCAAAAAAACGATACCAATTTTTGCAAACTTTGACGAATATTTAAAGCTAAACGAGTTGCCGTAGGGTAATAATATTTTAGTATGATCTAGACAACTATGGTATCTACCGTCAAAAAAATAATAAAAAAAATCGTCTAAAATTTTTTTTTAACTTCCCGTAGGGCAAGTTATAGTAATCGCAAAAAAATCGAAAATGAAAATTTTTGCATTTCTCGACGTTTCAAAACCTTCTGAACATTTTGGCATACCTTAGAAAAAATGGATGTATGTGTGTGTGTGTGTGTGTGTGTGTGTGTATGTATGTATGTATGTATGTATGTATGTATGTATGTATGTATGTATGTGTGTGTATGTATGTGCGGATACAAATTTTCGTCGACGATTTCGGGAACACGGATCAACCGATTTGAATAATTCAAAAAACATTCGATTTGTATTGATAAGGAGACGTGCTGATTAGTTTTTGGCAAAGGCAGGTCTAGCCGTTCCGAAGATACGGGGCAAAAAGTGCCAAGAACGGTACCTCCGTTTTTAAGAGAACGGAGCGTCCGATTTGAATAATTCAAAAAACATTTTACTTGTATTGACAAGATATAGAATTGATCAAATTTTCATGGAGGCAGGTCTAGCGGTTTCGGAGATCTAATAAAAAAAGTAAAAAATAATGCCATTCGGCGGTCAAAAATTATCATTAGACATATGCACATCAAATTATCAGATATTTTATAGAAATTTTAACAATAAGTATATTTTTTTTTTTACATTTTTATGGGTTCCGTACCAATGCTTATGCGTTAGACGGCGGCGCGGCACATGCGCGCTTTGACATTTCGTCTCTATGCAGTTCAAGCAGTGCGATTGCTTTAAAAAAAAGTTCAGATTTTCCAAAATATGTCAAAATGAAGAAAACATTTTTTTCAAAAAAATTTTTTGTATCCAAAAAAAAATTTTTTTTTCAAAAATTTTTTTTTCAAAAAAATTTTTTTTTTTTCATATAATTTTTTTTTTTCAAAAAAAAGTAATTTTTTGTCAAATTTGTAGTTTCTCAAAAATGTTAATCGTTTTTAAAAAAATAATAATTTTTGGTACGGGAAGTTCCCGCAATTTGCCTTAAGGCACGATGCCCTAATTGCCTTAAGACAGAATTCCACTTACAGCTAGTTTTATCATTTTATTACAAGAAAACGGCCCGGCCGATTTGTACCAAAAACTAATCAGCACAATTCCCAATCAATACCTTTCGAACGGTTTTTGAATTTTCAGAATCGATTCAGAATTGCGGGCTAAAACGTGGACGAAAATTAATTCACTTTTCTGATATTTATAAAGAAATGGCTTGGCCGATCGTCGCACAACAATACTCACAACACAACAATAGTCCTCATCGAGATACATCGAATGGTTTTTAAATTTTTCAAATAGGTTTAGTCATTTTTGAGACAACGTCGATTTACCGCAAAAATCTGTTACCACACACACACATACTTTTTCCAAATTTGGTCTCATTCGATTCAGAATGACTTGAAACGTCGAGAAAACATAAAATTAGCGAATCAGAATTTTTGATGAAAACATAAACTTCTCTTTCGGGAAGTTAATAATTGATTTATTGTAGGCCTACGATATTTTAGGATGTTCATTAAGACTGTGAATTCTATGACTATACAGAGTTTCATTTGAAATCGTCACAAAGAAAAATTATTTACGAAGAAAAAGCGCCTAAAACTAATCAGCACATTTTCTGACCGATATTTTTCAAACAGATTTAGAACTCTTCAAAAAATCAACATAATGTTAAAATATCTTATAAGGTGTTCTGGCAAAAATATGAATACTCCTTAAAAAAATGGATCCTTACATTACAATTACCTATATAAAACTCCTTACGTAACAGAAATCATATTCATAAGTTGTTCATAATAGTTCAAATAAAAAGTAAACTGTCGAAAACTGATACATATTTTCAAAGCAAAATATCTTATATTGACGTGTATATTTCAAACTTAAATTTTTTTTGATCAGTATGATATTTCTTGCACAATAGCCTCTTATAACACGAGAAATAAATCAATTTGCCGATTGAAATATTATTAATTATAACAATGATAGGTACCTAAGATCAAGAAAGTCGGCAGTGGAAAGTCTAGGGTTCTTTTCGATTCTCCATAATAGGAATTGACGTAGGTTCCGAGGAAGTCGATCTCGCCCAGCATCATTGCGAAAGTCCTCATCAGTGACATCGGAATGGTCTTGAAGGAAAGATGCGTCTCACCCTAAAATGTAAAAATGTTGGTATTTTAATGGTAAGTACTATATATAAAATTATATAATGAAATAGTCCGTATACAGTGATTTTTAGTCAAATTTCTATATTTTAAGTTTATGCCATGTAAATGCTATAGGGGAGTCTGGGTACGGTTGTGCCCCTCTTTTTTATCAAACAATTTAATAATTTTGTTAATATACCAGTTAGCTGAGAAAAAATTAAAATGAATGGCAATTTGAAAATACTAAAATACAATATGGTCCTACGGCCTACAACAATGGGGTGCGACCAGTGGTGTTGTGCTAATATTTTTTTTGCCGGAACGCTAAAATTAGAAAACCGGTTCAAAACCGGTTTCCATGTTTGTCCCGGTTCCGTTCGAAAAGGAAAGGAAACAAAAATCATTAGAAAACCCATTTATTACAATAATAGGAATGTTTAATAAAAATTAGTTTAATTACAATTTATAAAATTCACTTAAAATCGCTTTCTGTATGGAACTTTTTTTTTTAACTTCCCGTAGGGTAAGTTATTGTAATGGGCCGAAAATCGGAATTTTTACATTTCTCGACGTTTTGAATGTGTGTGTATGTATGGATACAAATTTCCAGTCACGTTTTCAGGCGCAAGGACCAACCGATTTGAATGGTTCAAAAAACATTCGATTCCTATCGTTAGGGAAAAGAGCTGATTAGTTTTTGGCAAAGGCAGGTCCAGCCGTTTCGGGGATACAGGGCAAAGAGTGCATAAAATAGAAATCGACTTTTTGAGAGAACGGAGTATCCGATTTGAATGATCTAAAAAACATTCATTTAGTAATGATTGGGAGAAGTGTTTATTAGTTTTTGTCAAAGGCAGGCCCAGCCGTTTCGAAGATACGGAGCTAAATATGTAAAAAATGGCAGTTTTTGAGAGAACTAAGCGTCCGATTTGAATGATTCAAATAACTTTCTGCTTGTCTTAATAAAATAATTGGTTTTGGAAAAAAAAATTTTGTTTCATTTTTTTTTTTAATTTTTTGTATATCGAAAATAAATCAGATTTTATTTCTAATTCTGACTATAGTTCTAATATACTTTAAACAAATAATGTCAACTTTGCAATTCAGTTTATATAATTCTTATAAATATTAGACAATGTTACAATATTTATAACAATCTATTTGAAAATATGCAGTATTCCTCGAACATGGTACGGGTACGGGTACGGGTACGGGTACGGGTATGATTTACGGTACGGGAAGTTCCAGCAATTTGCCTTAAGGCATGATGCCACCCACCCCACTATTTAATTTTTTTTCCCGGAACGCGTTCCGGCTCAAAAATCATTTGCCGGAACGACAAAATATCACATAACAACTAAGAAGGTGCTATCGCTGGATAGCGATCCTTCGCACGCAGTCAAATAATATATACCTCTAATAAAATATAGTTGAATGTACTTTGTATAGTTTGCTATGATAAATAATAAACAAAAATTGAAAATACTAAAATACTGTCCTTAAACACGATGTATTAGTCATAAAATCAAATCATACAGAAAAGAACCAGTAACAAAAACGTCTACATCCGAGGGTCGGTTGTAAAAGCGATTGGTGTAATTAGTTACAAGTACAAAAATAGGTATAAAACAATGAGTATTAACATCAAAATTGTTTATAACGAGTTTTATTGTCGGAACACAATAATATGTAACGCAACACAACATAAACATTTAAACAAAGCTTATGAATAAAGTATAACAATATATAACAAATCCTAATTTTAAAAACAAAACAAAGTTAACAAGAATTCTTTTTGAAATATTTTTTTATTGTTTTGAATGTTCTTTTTCTTTTTCGTATTTTGTCTAAGTTAAGCTAGATTTTTTTATCTGCTTAATCTTCATCCGAAAGTAACAAAAATACATGTCACGACCGTACCCCAAAATTTATCTCAACCGTACCCAACGCACACTTTTTAAAAGAAATCATTATTATAATTATTTAAGCAAAAACTAATTTCTGATAAATAACTACTACTGTTCAACTCAAAAACAAAATAACCAAAAAGTAACTTATCTGTATACAATTAACAGTTATGATTGTAAAAAAAAATACAAACTTACTCTTGATTCTTTAAAATCAATGCGGTCTACAGTTTATGTTAATGTTACGAACTGACTAAAAGCAATAATGGGAACTTGCTCGAACAATAATTCTCCATCTTTCTACTTTTTGACCTATCTAAAAAGCAGTATAGTTTTATGGCGACTGATACTCTATCATACCCTGGCAGAACCGTACCCAGTCCCCTCTACTATTTTTTAAATTGATCACATTTTTTACATATTTTAACATGTTACATATTTTTATCGTATACATATTTTATATTGCTTTGATTTTTTTTTAAATTTTATATATATTTTTACTATTCCGTAAATTATGTGTTTTTTTTTCAATAAATATGTAAGATATTAAATTATGACTGTTTAAAAAGTTTTACTTAAATAATTATTATTTAACATTGAATCTATTTTACTAATGTTAATACATACTAGTAGTGATTTACAAAATATTGAGCATTATTTACTTACCCCCGATAGAAGAATATAGAATGCCAATCCGAAAGCGATTATCAGAATCGAGAACACTAGAAGAACTTTGATAAGGGTCTGCAGAATCTCTAAAAACATCACCACATAGATTCCAGCCTGGTCAAATCTTTGCAGATATAGCAACAGATTGAACCAACTCAAGAAAACCGTAATTGAGGCAGAGGAGACTTGCAAATTATCCACTTTTCCACCGATCAACATTGGTACAACCATGATAATGGACGAGATGTACAAGGCCCATGTGACCAGGTTGAAAGGCTCTAGCAGATACTGCCATTTTTGCTGGTAAATCTGACATACCTCCTTAATAAATTGGACAGATATATAAATTATGATAAATACGGCACTGGTGTACATGATAGGGGCGTAACTTGAGCCTTGTTTTGAAATTGTGCTATTTTGACTAATCATTTTGTTCTGGAACATTTTCAAAAGCGGCCCTGTGTAGTTTTGATTTCTCGAGTCGGTGCAGTTCCAGTAATTTAAAGTACGGCCTTTTATCTCAGGATTGAGATTCGAAGAATAAACAGTGACAAACATAAGAAAAATGCTATAGAATAAAAGATTTATTAAATGAAAATATTTTCCGTAAGAGTTCCATTTCATTTCCAGATACTTTTGGCTGAGCGGATGTGCTAAGAGTTCCACGCGACCATGGGCGACCATAGCCTAAAAGAAAATCGAACTAGGTTGAGAATATTTTTCTAAATAATCAGTCAAACAAAAAAAATATATATTTAATAATTAAATATATATTAAGTTATATATTTAAAAATATTTATTATCTTTTTCACTTGATGTTACCTTCTAGTGACATCACCATTCTAAAACGATAAATTTCAAGTTCAAATTATATATGTATATATATGTATATATGTGTAAGTTCTTGTGGGGTGATACATCAAAAAATAAAAAGCAAGGATTTATAAATTAATCTTTAATTCCAAACGTTTCGACATTCAATTTAATGCCATCAGCAGTGGATATTAACGTTGGTAGGTTACATCTAAGATGTGTACACAACACTAGAAATAAGCACTAACATTTATACATCTAACTTGTCCACACTATGAATTTTTATCATTTTTTGTAAGATGTAAAAAGAAAAATGATAGTTTTATTTGAACAAAAATGTGAGTAAAATTAAGTAATTTCTGCCACGACTTGTGAAATGTGCAAGCTCCGAGGCTTTAGTGCTAAATGTATCGCCCCACAAGAACTTACTCATATATCTCAACATCAAAATTAACAACTAAATCATATGTATATATATAAATATTATATATATATATATATATATATATATATACATATATATACTTAAGTTTATTTATTAGTTTTTACTTATTAATCAAAAATATAAAGTGACGACAAACAACAATAAAAACAGACGATCCAAATATAAAAGCAACACTCTTTGTCTACAGTTAGTTCAAAAACTATAAAACTATGTGAGAAAAATAAATTTTTATACTAGAAAAATATTGCAAAACAACAAATAATAAATAGTAACAAAATATATAGAAGATATGAAACAGTGCATAGTAATTCATATATAAGCAAAATACATTAATTTATTTTTAAAAAAATTACCTTCATAGCCAATAAATCGCACCAGACAACACAATAAACCATCCTTTAAATAAAAAGAAAAATATCTTTTGATATTATTAACAATTTGATATTGTTATGAAACTTACAAATGGCATTCGTCAAAAACGTTAATTTTTTACTACCGATAAATAACCTTTCCCAAATTTAGACGTTTTTCCAAAAAATATTACAGTGTTGTAAACTTAACTTGCCCTTTTGATATATTTTAAAGCCATTGCTTATGATTATAAATATTGAAAATCATTAAAATAATTTTATGCAATTTTCACATGTTCTTTCTCCGTACATCCACTAATATTTACATAATCGTTTTATGATTGATATTACCGAATCCGAATCTATTAAATATTTGAGTTCGAAGTCGGACACTTATTCTGTTTTGACTATTTAGGCCGGTGTAGTACTATCTGGCTACACCAGAAATTTTTCGCGGTCATAACGGGTGGCCTATTTAAAAATTTAAATTTAATTTTCTATACAATGAAAACGGCTCAATATTTTTCAATGATTGAACATTTATTTAATAGGTTGATGACATTTATTTATGAAAAATAATTTCGGTCAAATGACCACCACGGCTGACTTGGCAGTAGTCCATTCGATCCACCCAATTTTTGAGTACATTTCAGATTGTTTCGAGCATTATCTCAGCAATAGCAGCTTGAAGGCTCGAGAATTGCCCCTTTTCGCTGTAGTCAATTCTTTAATTACTTGCAATAGTGATGTTAAATCTCAAAATTTATACATCTTCGCCCGTTCTTGCAACACTGGGTTTTCAAATTCTGTTATATATTGAAACAGATGGACCCCTTGTAATTCTACCTTGTTTAACTAAAAATTCATAGTTCTTGAATATTTTCGACTCAAAGCTCTTCAACTTAGACAACTGATCTTTGGTGTTTCGAAACAAAGCAATGATTGCCCCCTGAAGATTCTAATACGAGTAGGTCGCAAATTCTTTTTTTTTCATTAATATTATTATTATTTACCATCAAATTACAATCTGCCTAAGTAAAGACATTTAGTGATTGAAATGTTATAATATATGGTTTATTTAGAAAGATTGCCCAATGGTAATTCTTTCTAGTGTGGATATATGCTGTTACTATTTGCTGATTACTGTGGGAGTACGTGTTCTTGTTGAATTAGCCAGATGGGCACATATCTTGGAGCACAAATGGCTTGGAGTAATATTTTGTTTTGGAAGAGCTGGATTATTTGTATGTTGCTATTCTCTGCTGAACCCCATATTTGAAGACCGTACGTCCACACTGGTTTCAGGATCACTTTGCACAAAAGGTTTTTGTTGAATGTCGATAGCTTCGAACGACTGCTTAGTAGCCAGTGATATTCGAGTTGTTCGTGCTTTTGTGGATGTGCGTCTTCCAGTTTAATTTTTGGTCAAGGTACATTCCCAAATATTTAGCGTGGTCTTGAGTTAGTATTTGGTTGTTGTGAAGTACAACGGGGGGATATTTATTTTTTCGGAGCGTGAAGGTTACTTGGGCAGACTTTGAGTAGGGGTCGCAAATTCTAGCCTTGAATTAAACCAGTTGCGTGATTCCGTATCAACTATGGCATTGTAAAAATAGCCAATTTTTTGTACGAAACAATATAGGTTGCCTGAACAGCCGCAATATTTTTCAACTAGAAATCTAAGTCTTCCTCAGACGCGTCGCCTGACTATGGTGCCATGCTCATGTTTGTTCCTGTTGATTGCATATAACATAGTTCTTATAATGTACCAGAGCGAATACATTGAAAAAAAAAACAAGTTTTCGCCGCTTTTGCTTTTTTTGTTCGAATCTATTGTATTTTTTTCATGCAGCTTTATGAAAGCGACCAAACTAATAATTTATAAAATGATAGGAAATGCTCCAATGATAATTCTTCTACGTCGGCGATAACAAAATTACAATAAAAGATAGGTAGCCAGTTTTGTGCTTTTTGCCGTATATAATGTGTAGTCTGTTCACGGATGCTGCCATTTCAGTTTGCTGCGCGCGTATATACATATATCCGCTCCCGTATTAACTAGGAATTCTTGTTTAGATGCCTTGTCCACTACAGATTGGCGGTTTATTGAAGTAATTAATTGACAGTCATGCGCCGCACTGATGAATTTTCTTGATTGATTGATTTTATAAGTTTTGTTTAAAAATTTAAATGAACATGGTTCATTGCAGTTTCGAGCTATTTCACCAAATATTGAGTGATACTGGCAGAAACCATGTGGAAATGGTTATGCAATCTTTATATTTGATGTTGTGTTTTCGAAGTTGTGATATTTATGAGATGACATTCTCCATTAGTTTGTCTGTGGATAATATTAGCTTATCAACTGTTTACTTATCAACAATCCGGGATTTCATCTAGCTCGCGATTTTTGGGTGCCGACATGATGGCTTGAATGATGGGCGGCAGTAGCCGCTTATTCCACAATACCTTTATAATACTGGCGCCGACCTTCGGTTCGCCAAAAACTGTGATAACTGACCGATTTCTTGTCGTCCATTAGTAGTTCTAGTTTACATTTCTTGAAAATCAATATGCTCCCAATGAGTGCATGTTTTAGAAACTCGTATTTATTAACTTTGATTGCATATTGACTAACTAAATATGCAAATTCGCAAAGTAAAAATTTCTAGAATCGGCAGAAATATTGGAAATAGCAAATTGCAATATAGGTGCGTAACCCAGTGTTGAGTCGATTCATGCCAAAAGAGATAAATTTCAACACCACACATGAAATTGTAAGAGAGATAGTTATTCGTACATCTCCGGTTTTCATATAATGTGATTGATTGTTCCGACTTCAGGGTTGAAATTCAGTGATGCTTGTCGTTGAAATTTTATACCAGTAGCGATAACATTAGGGTAGAGCGGGCTAGTTGAGCATAGGGGCAAGTTGAGCAATCGAAATATCTCGAAAACTATTCACCGTCCGTTTAGGCATTATATGGCGGAAAGATAGAGGTTTGGGAGAAATAAACATCCCGCCATCGCTAGTGGCCGCTTGACAAATGAGTGAGGCCGTTTTGTTTATTTTGAGACCAAAAAGTAAAAAAGTAATTAATCACGAGTTTTCGTCTGGTTTAGTTAAATGTTATTTATTTTTAATCAGGTAAATGTTATTCTTCCATATAATTATAGTACTTTTAATATGCACAGAGATTCTGGGTATAATTCTTACGTTTTTTTTTATAAATTCACTTTTCTTTTGAAATTCCGAGTTGTGGTTAGTTGAAATTAATTAATATTTTTAAGATTTAAGCTAAGTCTATGAGTAATAATATAAAGAAATAATGATTTTAAACAAAAAATACTGATTATAATGGTAAAATAATTTTTAAGATACGATATTGTTTTGTTGATTCTACTTTTAGTTACTTATTCAAAGAAAATTACTATAAGTTTTGTTTTCTCTGTCAATAAAGACTATAAATATAGAACTGGTTATTAAAAACTTATTTTATTTCATCACTAATCGACATTGAACCTATGATTTCATTATACTTTCTTAGTGCTCAACTTGCTCCACCTATGGGGTACATTTAGCATACTTGATTTTTTGCATTTAAACAGCTGTAGCTTTTAAATTTTACTTCTTACCAAAAATAGTATTAACACTTTTGTTGAGCGATAAACAACAAATCCATTAAGCCGTATAGCAATTTATTGAGACTTTTCATTGAGGAGCTACTCCGTTTAAGTAAAAATTTACTCAACTAGCCCCGACCTACATGCCCGGGATGTGCAACCGTTATCCTATATAAACATATACACAAATGTATATGTATTCAATAATAAGTTATATTATGTAGTGTGTTGCTTAGCTACACTAATAATAATTCTGTAAAATGATTTTTACTGAAGTAACTTTAGGTATCGATCTGTAGCCAGATGAACATAATTCTTCTTATAAAATATTAGTTTTTTTTTCTGAAAAATATTATTTTGAATTCTATTAGTATTGCTTTGAATTTTTGTTTCTGTCCTGGTTTGATTTGTTGATAACATACAACGCATTAACACTAATTGATAAAGAATGTTTATCGTTTAATTATATATATATATATATATATATATATATATATATATATATGTATATATATACATATAAATGTATGTGTATATACGACAATTGATACAAAAAAATAAGATTGAACACCGTAATAAATGTTAGAAAATAAGCCAAAAAACCCGCAACCCGACACCGAAAACTCCACCAAACCTTTAACTTACATTGACCACTTCTAATGGTATCGGTCGCCAATTTGGATCGTTTTGTGTTTGTCTGATTTCTTTGATATTTTCGGCAGATTTTTGATAAGCAGTAAAAGAATATTTTATCTAGAAAAGAATAAAAAATATTGGTGATAAAGTGTTCCTTATTAATTTTGACTTACATTAAGGGCTGGAAGGGGTATTGGTTCTGATATGGCAAGGGCATCTCCTGTTTTCTCGTCCATTTGAGCATACATTGTCGGACATTGCAAACAGGTAAATGAATATTTCACCTACTCGACAAAAAAATTACAAAATAATGTAACAAATATGGTTTATATATGTAAGATTTTGTTAACTTTAGCGTCCGAATTATGTATGGTGGGTATATATATATATAAATATATATACATATATATATATATATATATATATATATATATATATATATATATATGTATAATGCGCTTTAAAATGCTCTATATAGATGTTCTATAAATAGATAACTTTTAAATTTTACACCATTTAATTACGATTATATTGGTAATTGATTTGTTAAATAAGGCCTGTAATAAATTTATGATAAAATTTTTATAAATCATAAATAACAATTTATAACAAATTACTATCAATTTGGTATAGTGTTAATAATGATTAAATTAATTATTTTAATGAAATGATATATTTTTATAAATATTTATTAACTCTTATCAATCCGATTAAGTTTAGGACGCATATATAATATTTATTTATAATTAAATATAAGCATAAAATATTTTATGCAAAAAATGCATTTCAAAAGCGCTTTCACAATTAGTGAATAAAATGTATTAAATACGAGGAACGTTAATTTAGAATGTCGCAATAAATCAAACAAAATCAAACGTATTAAATTACAACTATAAAAAATTCAATAATCAAGGATATCTTAATTAAATGTAATAAATTAGCTCACAATTAAACTCAAGAACTAAATTATAGTTTAAAACTTTTTTTTTATTTTATCACGTAATATTTTTCAAATTGCTGTTTTGTGTATATTTCTAACTTACATAAAAGGATTTAGAGTCCTTTTTGCAATTTGCCTTCGTTATGCATTTGTCCTGAACTGCTTCAAAAACCCTCGGCATGGAAGCAATGAGCGCCAATGTTACACATGGATGTTTGTCGGACTTCAGAGCCATTACTTCACCACCTCTGGTAAAAGAAAATTAACAAAGAATGTGAGATATGCCTTCATATGGTTCAGAAACAGTTTTATTAACTTCCCGTAGGGCAAGTTATAGTAATCGCAAAAAAATCGAAAATGAAAATTTTTATATATCTTCACGTTTCAGAGGTTTTTGAACATTTTGGCATACCTTAGAAAAAATGGATGTATGTGTGTGTGTGTGTGTGTGTGTATGTACGTATGTATGTATGTGCGTGTGTGTATGTATGTGCGGATACAAATTTTCGTCGACGATTTCGGGAACACGGATCAACCGATTTGAATAATTCAAAAAGCATTCGATTCGTATTGATAAGGAGACGTGCTGATTAGTTTTTGGCGAAGGCAGGTCCAGCCGTTCCAAAGATACGGGGCAAAAAGTGACAAAAACGGTAACTCAGTTTTTAAGAGAACGGAGCGTCCGATTTCAATAATTCAAAAAACATTTTACTTGTATTGACAAGATGAAGAATTGATCAAATTTTCATGAAGGCAGGTCTAGCGGTTTCGGAGATCTAATGATAAAAGTAAAAAAAAATGCCATTTGGCGGTCAAAAATGATCATTAGACATATGCACATCAAATTATCAGATATTTTATAAAGATTTTAACAATAAGTATAATCTTTTTTAACTTCCCGTAGGGTAAGTTATAGTAATCGCAAAAAAATCGAAAATGAAAATTTTTGCATTTCTCGACGTTTCAAAACCTTCTGAACATTTTGGCATACCTTAGAAAAAATGGATGTATGTGTGTGTGTGTGTGTGTGTGTGTGTGTATGTATGTATGTATGTATGTATGTATGTATGTATGTATGTATGTATGTGTGTGTATGTATGTGCGGATACAAATTTTCGTCGACGATTTCGGGAACACGGATCAACCGATTTGAATAATTCAAAAAACATTCGATTCGTATTGATAAGGAGACGTGCTGATTAGTTTTTGGCAAAGGCAGGTCTAGCCGTTCTGAAGATACGGGGCAAAAAGTGACAAGAACGGTACCTCCGTTTTTAAGAGAACAGAGCGTCCGATTTGAATAATTCAAAAAACATTTTACTTGTATTGACAAGATGTAGAATTGATCAAATTTTCATGGAGGTAGGTCTAGCGGTTTCGGAGATCTAATGAAAAAAGTAAAAAATAATGCTGTTCGGCGGTTAAAAATTATCATTAGACATATGCACATCAAATTATCAGATATTTTATAGAGATTTTAACAATAAGTATATTTTTTTTTACATTTTTATGGGTTCCGTACCAATGCTTATGCGTTAGACGGCGGCGCGGCACATGCGCGCTTTGACATTTCGTCTCTAAGCAGTTCAAGCAGTGCGATTGCTTTGAAAAAAAGTTCAGAATTTCCAAAATATGTCAAAATGAAGAAAACATTTTTTTCAAAAAAATTTTTTGTATCCAAAAAAAAAATTTTTTTTCAAAAAAAAATATTTTTTTTCATATAAATTTTTTTTTCAAAAAAAAGTAATTTTTTGTCAAATTTGTAGTTTCTCAAATCTATTTTTTTTAATTAAATTTTTTTCAAAAATGTTAATCGTTTTTAAAAAAAATAATAATTTTTGGTACGGGAAGTTCCAGCAATTTGCCTTAAGGCACGATGCCCTAATTGCCTTAAGACAGAATTCCACTTACAGCTAGTTTACATTTTTATGGGTTCCGTACCAATGCTTATGCGTTAGACGGCGGCGCGGCACTTGCGAGCTTTGACATTGCGCCTCTATGCAGTTCAAGCAGTGCGATTGCTTTGAAAAAAAGTTCAGAATTTCCAAAATATGTCAAAATGAAGAAAAATTTTTTTTTAAAAAAAATTTTTGTTTTCAAAAAAATTTTTTTTTCTCAACAAATTTTTTTTTCAAATAATTTTTTTTTTTTTTAAAGTAATTTTTTGTCAAATTTATAGTTTCTCAAAAATTTATTTTTTTCGAAGTAAAATTTTTTCAAAAATGTTAATCGTTTTTGAAAAAATAATAATTTTTGGTACGGGAAGTTCCAGCAATTTGCCTTAAGGCACGATGCCCTAATTGCCTTAAGACAGAATTCCACTTACAGCTAGTTCAAAAAAAGTTAGAAAAAATATTCTGAATTTTTTGAAATGCTGTACTAAGAACAGAATATAAATGAAGAACCAGATATAATACTGACAAGAAAAATAAACTCGATCAGTCCCACATTGGTAAAAAGTACGTTTTCCATGTCGTCGTCTAAGGATAAAATAGAAAACAGAAAGAATCTAAAAAAATAAAAATAATGTACATGCTCTCCTACTTAATCAAAATTAATATAAAACAAACAAAAGTTCAATAAATAAATTGTAATGCGATGCTCAGCACAATACACTTGCTTTTGAAATATAGCCAAGAAAATGATAAAACAAAAAAAATCAATAAAAAACATGAAAAATAAATAAAATTTTTGTGATTGAAATGAATGGTGTGCTAAATGTTCCAATAGTGCATACATATTGGCTAGAGCTCGTTTCTAGATGAACCGAGCATTATTCGTTTTACATGGCTTTTTATTACTAACAAATGTGGAGAAAATTTGTGTTAAATATATAGGAAAAGCAAGTAAAGTTTAACCTATTTCATAATAATAAATTCATTTATTTTTAATAAGACATAACATAAGAGACATGTGTTCAATCTGAATAACTAATATGGATCAATTCACAAAAAACAAAACTCGTTATACTTTGTACAAACATATAATTACATAAATTAAAATGTATGTATTTAGCCATTAAAACTGAATATAGAGAAATGGTTAAACAATTACCTAATTCAACAGAAGAAAGGTTTTGGTCAGATCGAGCATCACATGAGTGAACATCAGTTTGGTTTCAGAAAAGAAAAAGGCACCAGTGACACCATTGGAATATTTGATCTCAATATTGTCGGACAGATGTCTCGATGTTAACGAGGACATTTGCTTCTATTTTATAGATTGGCAGAAAGCTCACGTTAGAATCAAAAGGAGCACGAATATGAGGATTTTAAAAACTTTTGACATTGATTGAAAAAGCCTTGGGCTGATCCAGACTATATATGGAACAGAAAGTTAGTCCTTGAAAGCAATATATAAGTTTACGATTCAGAAGATGGAGAATGCTAATCATTGATGACTAACGCGAGATTTGAAACCACAGAACTAAATACAGAAAATTTCAGTTGTCTTTTCCTTCAGAATTAAAGCACAGGACACTGAAGTATAGAAGAAAAAATGCAAAGGACATTAAAATTTTGGAAGAAAAAATGCATAAAAATGAATAAAAAGTGAACTAACAAAATGCTAATAGAAATGATAAACATGAAATGATAGAAAGAGTATTTGGCGTGATCTCTTATCATGGACCTGCCTTCAGGCAGACTACAATTTGTTATTATTTATGTGCTGCTCCAATTTGAACATATGTTCGGTTTTGCTTAGTTTTAGTAGTATACTGTATACTGTATAATGTTTAGACACCAAGAATGCAAGCAATCAAAACGTGAGTTTTAATTACTGAATATTTTATTGGTAATCACATTTTATGGAGTAGCACCCGTAACACATGTGGAGGTAATTTAATATATAAATTATAAATAATAACAATTTGATAATTCTTGACGACGTATGCTCAACCACAATAGCACTTAAATGTAAAGTGCTACGGGCGTAAATTTATTACTGTGTTCGATAAACGTTATAGATACTGTGAAATGAGATGTATGCTAAGATGTGTTAAGATCAGAATAACTGCGATAATTTGGAAACATTTGGAAAAAAGGATGCTGTTGGCCATTAGTATACGTCCTACGTTGAACTATTAAACAAAGTTTGTAAACTGATATATTCAAGAAATTATGAGATACTTACCAACAATGAAAAATTCAGATAACAAATTATTAAATTATAATTGTGTTATATAAACTACAAAAAAAATCTACCTAAAAATAGTATTATTAAACAGTATGGAGAAACAAATAGAACAATTTTTAAGTCTGCAGCTCGGTGGGATCAGAATTGCGAAGAAGTCGAAAAAGCTAAAAAAAGCACACAAAAAGATGCTTCAGTATAATTATAATTTTTTTCAATACTAAAAAATAAATGCCCATACTAAAATTTCCATAAAAAACAAAAAAAAAAAAGAAAAAAGATGGATTAATTTTATTTATTTGATCAATCAGAACACGATTCCAACATTAATTTGGAATAAAATTAAACTTTTCAAAAAATGAAAACATAATTGGGCATTTGCTGCTAAAAATATATGTCCCAGGCTATATTACGAATGATTGTAAGAAAAATACAAATTTTTATTCCGAAGAAAACAAAACATTTTAAACTGGAAAAACTAATTAAAGTACAGGAAGTACGGAAGTCCCCAAGTGCCGGACACCTAAGGTCATTTACAAATAAGTCGAAAAATATTTTGCGAAATGTTTATTAAATTATAAATTATGTTAGATAACAAAGTTAGAAATCAAACTGAATTAACAAATTTGCAACCTTTGCTAAAAATTAATTAATGCTATCAATCAAACATTGGTAACACAAAATATAACTTTAGAAAGTGGCACCTAGTACCGGACATTTCAAAATAACCTGCATTGAACACATGTGTAGCCATCTCCATACTCTGGAATGTCTGCACATGCGTGTGCACAAATATTCTTTGATATTGCAAAAAATCGCTATTTATCCACCCTTTTGGCTGGGCCACGTCGATGCCCTCAGCTGGAGCATTTATCATAAGATTTGGCTAGGAAATACAAAAAATGGGGTATGTAGTGACCGTTAGCACTCATGTAGAACAAAATTAAATGATTAGAATAAATTACATAGATTATCACAAAAATATCAATATGTTTACTGTGCGGCGCAAAGGGACGACTTAGTATCCGGCGCTAAGGGACAGACATTTTTGTTCATTTGGTGGTATCAACTAAAATTGTTTTAAAGATCTAATTATATTCTACCATTTTACAGATAACAATCTAGTACTACTTTTATTTTTGCATACCACTTAAATGTAAATGCATAAATATACTAGAATTACTTAATTGTTATTTATGTGACGTGCCCCCTGTGTGCCCCCCGCGCCCCTTTCACTTGTATTTTGAAATAAAAAGATTTATACTCGCTTAAATAATACGTGTTAAATAGAGTGTCCGGCATTAGGACCGTCCGGCGTTACGGGACTTTCCCCTACAAAACATACCGTACAAATGGATAAAGAACTGGATAACTGAATTAAACATTAAATTACCAACTGTCTGCAATCAAATAATTACAAATAATTGGATACCTAAAAATTGGAGAAAAATAATAGTTGTTTCACGTTTCAATCGGCCAATTGTTTTTTCTTACCGTTCTTCATGTGTAACCATCGCTAAAGCAGCTTCAGGAAATTTGTAGTAAATTGCATAATCTATGGCACTCATATCTAAAGTATTGTATAACAATTTACAGCCCATCGACAAAAGTAAAGACACAGCATTAGGTTTATTGTCCATCGTTGCCAAATGCAGTGCGGTATTCTAAAAAAAATCAATATATAATATTTTCTGAATATATGACAATGATTAGAAAAAAATTAAAACTATGATAATGAACTTACGCCATCTTTATCAACTTGATCCAGCAAATGTGAATGTACGGAATGCAGTAATTCGATTGTTTGCGTGTAACCCGACATTGCCGCTAAATGTAAAGGATTCCGCCCGTTGTGGTCCCTGAAAACAAAAAAATCATTTGTTTATTTTTAACAGCAATCATAATACAATATCCTATGAATTATTTGGCGTAATTAATTTGCTCACACACATACATACATTGAGGGCCGGATTTAGAAATTTGGCGCACCGGGGTACTGACAAAAATGCCGCCCCATCCCTGAAATTTTCGAACTTTCGAACTTTTTTTTAAAGCAATCGCGCTGCTGCAGCTGCGTAAGGACAAAATATAGAAGCGCGTAAGCGCCTCGTCTAACGGATAAACAATGTTGCAGAATGCATATAAATGTAAACAAAATTTATACTTATTATTATAATATATTTGAAATATATGATAATTTAAAGTGCATATGTCTTATGATCACTTTTGTCCGCCAAATGTTTCTTTTTCAATTTTTTTATTGGATCATCGAAACCGCTAAACCTGCCCCCCACAAATTTAAGCTGTTTTAGCGCTTTAGCAAAAATTTTAAAGCTCTTTATAAAATGTAATTTTTAGTACGGGATGTTTCAGTAATTTGTCTTAAGGCACAATGGCATGAGCTACTAGTTTAAATTTTTTTTCGACGCTATAAGCTTGGAAGTGCACAAATTCGTCATTTTAAGAGGGCTCGAGAACTGAAAAACATATTTTTCTTAAACTTTCAGCTTGTTTACGGATCTTTATACTAGCCAAATTGACAAATTTGATAACTTATTAACCAATTTTAAAGTTTACTTTCGGAGAGGGAGGCAATGCAAAATAATAAATTGTAGTTATCGGTTATTTCAACCCAAATTTTGCATTGCAATCGTATTATGTTTTGTTAATTATATTTCTTGAAATAAAAAATGTTGTTAAAAAAAAGTTGATTATATTGTGTAGAATTTTTTTCTCACTATCCAAATTTTGCCGCCCTCAAAATTTGCCGCCCTGGGCAGAAGCCCCGACTGTAAATCCAGCAATGCGTACATTTATAAATACTCATTTGAAAGTTTTGTGCTGAATTTTAATACATCAATATTTGTTACTTCAATGAGTAATTCATAATTTTGGTTAATTCCTCTAAAGATTAGATAGGCCTTAAATATTGATTTTGAAAACTTCTTTTTCAGTCTTCTTGGTGCATCATAAGTAAGAAAAGTTATGAAGTCACAAGTGAAGAGAATATATAAAATCTGATGTGATGCTGAAGAGCTGAAGTTTCAAAGTTGACACAGACTTCGAGTTTCCTGTTAGCAAGATAATATTCTAAAATATTATAATATAATAACCACTACAGATGTTTTGTGAAAAGTTGTCCTGTAATATATTCTAATTATTGATTTGAATATATATGTCAAAAAGATAAATCCTTTTTTCGCAGTACTTTAAGTATTTTTAACAACACTAAATCATAACCTGGAGATTTCTAATTTTTCAGTTTACCAATTTCTATAATTATTATCAATAAAATTATAATGTTTTCTGAATTGTGTAAAGAAATGTAGTTAAGCTGAGACCCGCTGCATTATAGCATTTTAGGTTCGATTGGAAAACTGAATTCAAGTATAGAGCAAATAGGCCGCTCTTCTTTCCATCGAAAATGTGTTTTTTTAATCAGTGGTTTTAATTTGTTTTTAATTGGTTTGCACATTGAGTTATCAAATAATTATTATTTTTTAGTTTTATTTGTTCAAATATCTTTCAGTCTGGTTTTAAGCTTATTGCTTTAATTATGAAAAAAGTTTTTCTCCAATGGTAAGCAGCATAAGGTACATAATATATGTACTGCCTTTTGGGCCTTGCTTTCTTTTGACTATCATTTTTAATTTTAATTTTATGTTATAGGTTTAATGCAAAATATTGTGACACAACAATAAAACTTGATTACATATAACAAGATAACATAATGTCAGTTTTTCGCATTAGATATTTTCACTCTATAATATGACATAGAATAAAAATAGCCCTCCTCTTACTCTTTTGAAATCAATATTTCAAACTTGTTATTTTGTATTGCGTGCTTTCATAGTTTCATTTACTATAACATGATATTAAAAAAATGCTTATAACGTCCTAAATATAAACACTTTCCTATTGTTTAAATATATTAATAATTATAAATACCTGTGTAATAAAGCTCCTCTGTTTAATAAAAGATGAACAACTCTAGTATGGCCCTGCTTCGAAGCAATATGCAATGGTGTTAAACCTTCACCATCACTTTCGTTGATAATAAATGTTCCTTTTTCCGAATCCAATAGTTGACGAACAGTATTATATCTACCATACCTGGTGAAAGAAAAATGAAAACAAATATTTGTTAGCATTCATGTAATATATGGGGACCAAAAATAAAAAAATAGATAAAAATTTAGGGTGGATTGAATATATATATATATATATATATATATATATATATATATATATATTGAAATGTATTGGGGTTGTTGGTAACGTGTTCGTATTGACCTCCTAGTCAATACAGCCTTGCCGAGCGGTGGTTATAGTAATAGTAAGCTTCGGATTGCCTTGAGTTCTTATTAAGATATTGGCTGAAATATCACTTCTAAAGAATAACACTGATTGACTATTTCAACAACTTTTATTAGCACCCACAATGATGATTAACAATTGACTTTACACGACTAATATTGCGACTCTGCTGAGGCCAACAGCAACTACGCTGTGGCCTACAGCAACTCTGATGTAATAAAGACAACTCTTTTGTGATTCCAGCAACTCTGACTCTAACTCATATCAGTACTCTTTATATACTACTTAAGTGGGACTACTAACACCTTACGATGGCGTATTTAAAATATTTGCCGATTGTGATAATTACTGCAATCGATATCGAATTTGGCATATCAGCATTGCCATTACACAATGCAGCATTATCGATTGCTATTACACAATACGCCACCCCTAAAGTGTCTGTCAGTCCCTTGACAGATTAATAATAAAAAAAAATTACGGGAGTTTGTGCTTCTCCTCGCCCTTGGAAAAATTATTGTCCTCAATAATTACTTGAGCATAATTTCATTCTAAAGAAGAAAAATTTAATAAACAAACATTTTCTAAATTTACCTAAAACTTTGATAATGTACTTAATTCTATAATATCATCTGAAATGTTTCTTGTTTTATATTTGTTTAGGTAAATTTAAAATTACAAAATTTATTTTATTTAAAAAAAATCAAAATCACAATATTTGCTAAAAAAAAAAGACACCTTTAAATTTTTTTCATTGTAATTTGTTGTAATTAATGAAGATTGCATTTAATTCAAATAAGACAAAATTTAAAAATCACAAGTAAATTGATTTAAAGAATAATATATGTTTTTAAATGAGTTGACATAATATCAAACTTGCTGCTTTATTCTAGTGCTAGTGGAGTCGAAAAAAGAATTGGAAACCGAAATTTAAATATGATATGGCTTCATATAATAAAATGGCACAATAAGTTATTATTTATTTCTATAAACTCGAATTTTCATTATTTAACTCGCATTTTACTAATTTTAATTAATATAGAAAAGTTAGTCAACATTAAAAATTGAATATCAATAATTAATTGGACACGAATTATATAAAATTCTCGATGTAATAATTGTTTTTATATGTGAGTGTAATTTGACTACTATTTCTTCTGTCTCAGCTTATTTTTTGATATAGTATGTAATTTAATACGATCTGAATTTATTAAACAATCAAGTTGTATAATTCGTGTGTCTGTTATGTCAATGTATGTAGCAAAAAATTAATTAGGTAAGCAAAAGAGCATGTTTTTGACCTATTTGATTTATATTGTTATAAATTGTTTTCAAATATGATTCTTTTGTAAAATTTATGTAATATTATTAAATTGACCTTTATATATCATATAAAATGTGATATATTTAATTTGAATTTTGTTTAATAGATGCAATTGCTACATACTTCAACATTAATAATTAACAATAGATTCCTGGGCCCTTTTGATTCATAACTTTTGAAAGACTCGACTATTAATATGAGTGGCCATTCAATTTTGGAATCATTGATACAAAATAACTTTTGTATTTTATTTTCATGCGAATTATTGATACTATTGCTTCCAATTTCATTTTGTTCACAAAAGTGTATTTAAATGCAAAAAAATTCAAATTTTTTTTGATTTGTATTATAGCTGCATTGGACGCTCTAAAATAATAGTAAATTATCATCCATGAAATGCATAAAACACAACTATATTAAAAAATTTAAATAGTACGAAATATATTTTTTTTTGTAAAATAATTCAATAGACCAAAAAGTTTAAATTATTGGAATTATAATTAAAATAAATATGTTGAAAGTTAGAAATGTACTCAAATTTTCAGATAATTACAAAAACAAAAAAGTTTTTGTAATAAACATTAAAATTCATAAAAATTCGCAAAGTTCGCAAAATAAATCATAAATGAATTAAGTGTATTCATGTTTTGAAAATTGTATAGTTCACGTTACATGATATTTCTTTATTTAAATTTCAAAATAGAAATTTGATGAATCTTAGTACCATTAACCCAATAATCGAAGTACAATTAGTATGTTAAAAAGTAACTTGAATTTACTTAAAGATTTAGTTACCGTTAATCAAAAATAGTGAAATAATGCAATTATTATAATCGGAAATAATTTTACTTAAATTTATTTACTGAAAAATAAAATTTACTTTTATATAGAAGCAGCTAGAGTTTATAAACATTTTGCGTTCAATAAATTTACTATAACACCATGAAATTAGAAAATCATATTGTATCAATAATTCCAATATAAATATTTTTCTATTTTTTTTTTCTTTATTGCGGGGATAGTTTGCAATATATTATTAAACTTCTTTTCTATAACAGTTGGTAGAACGGGCAGTTGATTATTTAAAATAATACTATTTTATTATCAATAATTTTTCTAATTAAAAGTTAAATTAATCAGTATATTCATCGGGCGTAAAAATAAAATATTTAGAAAGAAAATTGTGCAATTTAGTGCACTTTACAAGTTACTTGACCTCTGAGGTTCTATATAAGCCAAATAGTCATCAATAACATGTTGTTAGCTTTACTAACAAAATTTAATATTATGAGGAATTTTAATACTCCTACAATTATTTTTTTTTTGGGTTTTTAATAACTCTATAATTATTCTTTTGGGTTTTCAATAACCCTATATTTATTCTTTTGAGTCTTTCTACCCCATGTATGTCCTTTATTATAATTTTTGCAGGTTTCCCTAAAAATTTATCGGTACATTCTGAAGTTTGGGAACCTGAAATAATAGGACTTGCAGGCACATTGGCCATAGAAGTGGCATTAATAGCCAAATTTGAAGTCATCCTGAATCGACGATATCGACGATGTTGGCGTTAGACCGCTCGAAAGCCGGGTTACTAACTTCATCAACATAAATAAAATGATTCGCGATTGCAGGGAATAAAAATTAATTTAAATGAAATTGTATCATTCTGAACTGCGATATCATCTGTGTTGGCGTTAGACCGCTCGAAAGCCGGGTTACTAACTTTATCAACATACATAAACTGATTCGCAAAGTTCAAGGAATGAATATTAGCTAAAGATGACTCTATTTCACCCTTCAGAGAATTCTATATAAAACTATAAAATAAAATTATTTTTTTCGCTCGTGATTGTTAAAACTGCTGTAATAGTTATTTAATCAACTGTCCGCTGTTATAGAATTATTAACCCAAGCTACCATTCTAATCAATATAATTGACATAAAAAATAATTACACTAACAGGATTTTCATCTACATAGTTTCTATCTTAAAAAAAATTCTGTTCAAATCTTAGATGAACTGGTTGTCATTCCTGGATGTGCAAATTTATTGTCCAAAGAAAAAATGGTTAACTTTGCCTGGGGAGAGTTGCTGACATCTTCTGGTAGTGTGATGTCCGAAAAAAGGAAAATAAATTTGTCACTTACTTAGAGTGAGTCGCTGTCGTTGCGGGTTGCTTACGGTTCAGTGTTGGTAGAGCCGCCACCTTGCTACCCTTAGTTCCTCGAATTAGTATCGCTGAATTGCTGGAACCGCCCTTGAGTCTGCAGCCGCCGGGGTGTGAAAAACTCAGTTTTCACGTTCACAGGCAACGTCGAATACTAATTCTTCACTACAAGGTATCTCACCGCTGGACACCATGAAATGTATTGGGGTTGTTGGTAACGTGTTCGTATTGACCTCCTAGTCAATACAGCCTTGCCGAGCGGTGGTTATAGTAATAGTAAGCTTCGGATTGCCTTGAGTTCTTATTAAGATATTGGCTGAAATATCACTTCTAAAGAATAACACTGATTGACTATTTCAACAACTTTTATTAGCACCCACAATGATGATTAACAATTGACTTTACACGACTAATATTGCGACTCTGCTGAGGCCAACAGCAACTACGCTGTGGCCTACAGCAACTCTGATGTAATAAAGACAACTCTTTTGTGATTCCAGCAACTCTGACTCTAACTCATATCAGTACTCTTTATATACTACTTAAGTGGGACTACAAACACCTTACGATGGCGTATTTAAAATATTTGCCGATTGTGATAATTACTGCAATCGATATCGAATTTGGCATATCAGCATTGCCATTACACAATGCAGCATTATCGATTGCTATTACACAATAATATATATATATATATATATATATATACTAGATGACCCCCCAGACATTGACCTGTACCCATGTCTACGGTTCAAAAGTTCAATTTTTTTAATAACCTATATTGTATAAATTAATATGTTTTTACACTACAGTCTATACCGAAATGTATATACATCCATACGGGTGATCTTAAATGTACAACTGTTCCAAATAAAATGTAGAGACTCAGAACCCACACTTAACCCTCTAATTATACTGTGAAATCAGCCACGTAAGACCATCAAACAAATAAATATTAAAATATGTTCAATAAAACAATATATTAGAAATATATACTACAATTTAATGCTAAGGGTTATCCAATATTTTTAGTCATACGTGTGTAGATGTAGGTGTATAAAGAAATGATTTTTTATTTATTCATGTCTAAAACATCAATTTTCCAAATTTATCACACAAAAATTCATCGTCTGCTGTTGTGATTTATAGCATCAGATATAACGAAAGTATAACAAATTTAGAAATGATTAATATGTAGTTACCATAGTATCCGCGGTAAAGGTACAATATCACCATGGACCTTTTCACTCAAAATAATTGCTTCAATAATGTTGCCCATATTTTTTATAATCTCGTACTATATATTAATTATTTTCAGTAATAAAATCAAAATTACATTTTTCTTATTAATAATTCGATATACAATATTATTTATTTCCATATTTTGGAATCTCTTGAACCGAGTTAATTCTAGATGAAATACGATTAATTTTAATTTTGATTTTGATGGAACTAAACGTCTGATTTGAATGATTCAAAGAACTTTCGGCTTGTTTGAAGAAAATAATTGCTTTTGGAAAAAAATGTTTCAATTTTTTTCATAGTTTTATATTAATTAAGTTGTATAAAATATAAAAAAATCTTTAAACGATAAAAAATATTTTCATCAAATTAGTTATGATTAATTAGTTCTCACCTGGCTGCAAAATGCAAAGGACTCTCATTATTATTATTTTTCAAATTGATACAAGCCCCTAGACTTATCAAATTCTCCAATGATCTTATATGTCCTTCTCTGCTCGCGTAGTGTAAAGGAGAACATCCCGAATGATCTTTTTCGTTTAGTAAGTTCATTAGTTTTTCTTGAGACTGGACCTAAAAATATATTACCAAATAAATAAAATAATATATAATTTTATATTTTGCCATATTATTATAATGTATTTTTAAATTATTTAATACTATCTATGTAAAATCAATTATTTAAAAGGTATCTATTTTGGTATATTGTATTATATATTATTATTTTTCTTTCTGACAATCTTACATTACATTTAAAACAGTTATGAAAATGTCATGAAAAGCATTTGAGTAAATTGAGCTGATTTGTGATAGATCGATATCCACATTTGTATTTAATGCATATAATTTAAAAATAATTTCTTAGGTTCAGTAATAGAAAATTTGATTGTCGTGATCCTCAAAGTTTTCAAAATTGTATAAAGTTGACATACTAATTTAGAAATGAAGACGCTAAATCTATTAGAAATTATTAAAATAGAAATAAACTAATTTAGAAACAAAAATGTTAAATCTATCAGAAATTATTTAAAAATTAGAAATTATTGTTAGTTTTTATTGATTAAGACGATTATAGTTACATATGTATATTGTAAAGTTTGTGCAACTTTTCTTAAGGCAAAATACTACTTTCATCTAGTCAACTTTCAGCAGGATAAGTTATAGTAAAGTAGTTTGAATTTGTATAATTCGAAAGTGACGAGTTGTTTCCGCGGAAAGCCAAAAAATAAAAATTATTTAATTTTTTTATTCATTAGCAAAATTTTTAAAAATCGAAAATAGTGCGGACTCCAATTTTAACTCTAGCTAAAATTCTAAAGCTCAGTTTAAAGTTTCAATTCAGTTTATATATTTCTTAAAAATATAAGATACGATTCTTCATTAAGATCTGTTCATTAACTGTTTATGCAAACTTATAATTTTACTTTATAAAAACATTGGTGCTTATGATAATAACTATTTTATTTTCTATGTTAAACAATTCAGAATGACTATACGTTAATAATGAATAAACCAGAATATTGGCAACATCTAAAATAATCATAAGTTCTTGCCTTATTGACTTCTGCAGCAAAATCCTGCAAGCTTCCCCCATTCATGACAACGTGATGTAAAATATTACGATGACTTGAATCCTTTAAATTAATATTTGCGCCAAGTCTAATAAGGGTATGAACCTGTTATAAATTACACATTATTACCATAGTGATTAAAAAAGACATATCAATGTATAAGAAGTGCAAAAAAGGTTATACGATTTAAATATTTTATAGAAAATTTAAAAAATCTTATAGAAAAAATGGTCTTGAAAAAAAAACGTATACTAACTTATGTAGTGTGCATGACACATTTTATAGAACATCTTACAATCTTTATAATATAGTAATAATTTAAACAGTTTATAACATAAAGATTCCTAAAATTGACACTTAGGAGAGCTAGGGGCTTTTGTAACAGTTTGTTTGAAACTTAAAATTACTGTTTACATTTTTTTATTTGATTCGCCGAAATAAAGATGGATAGACGCTGTAACTTTTCCTCGATTTAGTCAACTAGAACTAGAACTTCATTATTTCACAATTAATCATTTTCTTGGTCGCAACATCTAACGGAGCAAGTAGTAACAATAAAAAACGACATTAATACTTCTAATCATTTACTTATGTATGCTTCCAATCATTTATTTTTTGTTTGTTTTTAATGAAATTGACATCTTTATAAAGTAATAATTTTCCCCATAACACATGGGCATAAATGCAATGGTGTATTAAATGTGTACCAGTGGCGAAATAATTTTGAGAAACGAAGACGCGTGCTTAAGGTTTGTGCAACGCTTTTTAGACCGACCTAATCCGACGAAAGTGTGATATTGCCTCAGTCAGTTATTTGTGGAGTTCTAGTGGATCGGTCGAAGATGTTCATAATATAATGGAAAATGTATAAAACAAAAAGTTCAGCTGCAATACAGTGGGTTTGGACGTAAAATAAAAGGCGAGGAAAAAAAAGTTTTAGAGAAACTGAACCTTACAAAATTATGGTAAGTTATTGTTTTATTTAAATATTTGTTTATTAACTATTGCTATTATTATTATTATTATTATTGTTTATTATTGTTTCAGAATTCATTATGACAAAATATCAATCGTTACCGAATAATAGATAGAGAAGGTGGTGGACATGTTCAGCGGACGTAATTTAATTACGTATTATTAATAATGAAATGTAACTAATTTAACTTAATGTAATTTAACTATAAATATAAATAAAAAGTAAGTTATTGTCAATGTGTATATACTAATATTAGTATTATTGACTTTCCGTAAATCGAAATGGATTTTTTTGCATATCTTTACATTTCAGGGTTTCTGAACATTTTGGCATACCTAGAAAAAATGGATGTGTGGGTGTGTGTATGTTTGTGTGGATACAATTTTTCGTCCAATTTGAATCATCCAAAAAAACAAAGTTTTTGGAAAAGGCAGGTCCTATCGTTTCGGATAAACGAAGCTAAATGTGCAAAAAATGGCAGAAAGAAAAAAGAATTTTTTTTGTAGTTCTTTTGAAAGAAAAAAGAATTTTAATTATAACTAGAATTTTAATACTAAACAATGCCCATTTTAATACCGATTATTTAAGTTAAATAAACGTCATTGTCCAATTTATAAGCTCTTACATTTTGTCTATACAATAAAAATAAATTTGCATTCCGGATACCGAGCCCGGCCCAGTCGTGGCAATTAAGGATGGCGCAGTCATGCCAAATAATCATGGCCCAGTCGTGGTAATCGAGCTTAGCCCAAGCCTGGCTCAGTCATGGCAATCAAGCCTGGCCCAGTCCTGGCAATCATGCCTGGCTCAAGCCTGGCTCAGTCATGGTAATCGAGCCTAGCCCAAGCCTGGCTCAGTCATGGCAACCAGGCCTGGCCCAGTCCTGGCAACCAAGCCTGGCCCATCGTTATCACTCCAGATTTCTACCAATGCTGGGCCAAGCTTGCCTTACAAGCCTGGCTCAGTTATGGTAATCGAGCCTAGCCCAAGCCTGGCTCAGTCATGGCAATCAAGCCTGGCCCAGTCCTGGTAATCGAGCCTAGCCCAAGCCTGGCTCAGTCATGGTAATCGAGCCTAGCCCAAGCCTGGCTCAGTCATGGCAACCAAGCCTGGCCCAGTCCTGGCAACCAAGCCTGGCCCATCGTTATCACTCCAGATTTTTACCAATGGTGGGCCAAGCTTGGCTTACAAGCTTGACTCAGAGTTGTACTTAGTTGGGCCAAACCTGTGCCCGCAACTTACAAATGATACACTTCGCCCAATCTACATATTTTGTGTATAAGAATCACCATAAAGAAACCAGAAAAAAAAAACATTTTTTTGATTCTCAATTTATTTGTGAAACTTATATTCCAGAAGCATTCATCAATACTGTATATTTTTTTCGCGTCTGCTAATTGAATTAGATTTTTTTGGTACTGTCTTTGTCCATCAAGACTAAATCTAATGGTCTAATCTTTGATACGAATAAAGTATTTTGGCCGCTCAGCAACTCAAAAAAGGCTCGTTTGCGATTTCGATATGAATTATAATTCTCGTAGTGCGGGAAACAAAAGCAATTACTTACATTATAACATGAAACGTATTGTAATGTGTTACAATTGGCTTTAAAAATTTTGTTACAACAACCCCCAATATTTTTCCCGGGTGTGATTTTCAATCAAGATAACAATTTAAATAATTTATAATCACTATATCAACTATTGATAAATTTAAAAGAAATTAAGATATACGTGTGAAATTTAACATTAGTACTCTATCGACTTTCCTCTGTGTATCTAAATTAAGTGATTTGTGAGACAATCTACTCATCAGCTTTATATTAGAATGTCTGATTGTTGTCTCTGTAAAGCCTTGATTCGTGTTTTACTTGATTCGGGTTTCATGGAAGCTTTGTAAATATAACTTTATTGCTCAGGGATAGCTTGGAGTAACGTCCTATTAGCCAATAGAGTGACCTGACTTTGGTTTGCAGTTGTTTTATTTTTTGATTTATATGTTATATCCAGTTTTGTTTTCGGTCCAAATAAATACTAAGGTATTTGATGGTAGAAACTTCGGGTATAACCTTATTATTCATGTTGGCAAGAGGGCATTTACATAGCATAAATGTTATATGGCTTTACTTGTTTTCATTAATTTTTATTCTCCATTTATTGAACCAAAGTTCAATTGCGTGTAGATGTTCATGTAGTATTTTGCTGGCTTCAATAGGATTAGAGTCACCAGCCATTATAACAGTGTCGTCAGCAAAAGTTTTTATAAGAGTGTTGTTGCATGTTGATATAGAGTATAAATGATATACACAATAGGCCCTAGAGCTTTGCCGTGGAGAACTGCGGCTTCAATGTTGCAAACTGTGGGTACCTGTCTGCCAACTTTTGTCCGAAAAGTTCTGTCCGACAAATAGGATTTGAAGAATTCGTAATAATCTGGGATAGTTTTGTTGATTGTAATTAGGAGACTCTGATGCCAGACTCTATCAAATATTTGGCTCACATCAGGAAGTGCTACGGTGCAGTAATTTCCTTTTTCAAACTATTTGTAAATTTTATCAATCACACGGTGGCACTGTTGGATCGTTGAGTGCATAGGACAAAATCCAAACTGCGATGTAGGATATAATCCATATTTATTCGAGATATCTGACAATATATTTTTTTCAAATATGGCAATGGTAGACAGAAGACTTATTGGTCTGTATGAATCTGGTAACTCTAATAATTAATATATTATCCGATTGCTTGAGCAATGTTGTAAAATACTTTAGTATATAGAAGGGGTTGATAATATATGTTAGTAATACGTGTCTTTTTTTGACAGCCCTTTCAGCATTTTAGGTGTTATTAGATCGGCAGGAGTTTTTCTATTTTCCAGGTGTGAGAGAATACTTAAACTGGAGTGAAACTTGGAATACATATTTCTGCGCTAAAGTCTGTTGGACTTCTTGGTTATATATAACAGTATTATTGTCCGTAGAAAAATTTAGCTAAAAACAGATTCCAAGTGGTTTTTAGTGGTGGAGTGCGGTTCTTTTATTAGTTTTCACGATACGTCAGATTGAATTATCTTTTCTATTTAGATTGGTTCAAGCAATTTTCTTCTCAACTTATTCAGATTGTTAAAAAGAGTTTTACCCTTTGGATCGTGGTAGTTTTGCCAAAGACGTCAAGCTTTGCGTTTTTTGGCAACTAATTTTTTAATTTTAATACTTAATAGTTGATGGTCCCTTGGTTTTGATGGTGGTGTTGAAAGTTTTGCAGCGTCCTGCAATACATGTATTAAATTATTTAAAGAATCAACAATGTCGTACAGTGATTTCAAGCAAATCTTCAAAGCCAATTATTTGGAAACATTATTTCTGTAACGTTCCCATAGGAAAATCTTAAAATATATTGTTTTGCCTGTCCGTTCAGTAGTGGAACTAAGAGGCACGCTGTTCAGCGGCGCTGTACAGCAGTGGCATTCTGCGGAAAGCACTCTCGTAGCAAAAGGGTAAATTTTGTTCTCGTTTACATATTTTACTGCTGTGTATATTGCTATGTTCAGCTGACAATATGGACGAGAAATTAGGAATACTCATTTTTCGTTATAATTGACTTTTGGGATGTGCATGCCGCATCCAGTTTCCTCTAATGTTTTTGAGTCATCTATGTAAATGTGTAAGTAACCCAGCCAATTTGAGATAATATTATTTTCCTGGTATTGAATATTTTTGTGGTATTTGCTGTATTTGCGTCAATTTCTAAAACGATAAATGGTATGATAAAATCGTTTGTCGCTAAGTGTGTGTAATATAGATTGTTTTGTTTTTTATAACATTCTCTTCGTAGTGTTTGAGTGTTCATTGTTTATCTTATGGTTTTCGCTTATAAAACCGAATATAAAATCATTGAGTATTTGCTTGTCTTCAATATCCCACTCAAATCTTGCTTCTATCATGCCTTCGAAAGTCTTCGCAATGCATGACACTAGTAATATTGGTCTGTCAGAGTCGATGGATTGCGTCTTTCTGTCAAGTTCAATTATATAATTATACTATGATTATTTTTTTCCATTTTTCAGAAATCCAGTTGATTGTGATAATATTATTAAAAAAATTAAAAGCTTTGCTATGAAAGTAGTACAAATATTCTTAATAATATTATAGGAGGTTTTTTTTATTCCTTGAGAGCTCTTCTCAATTCTTTTAAGGTCAGAACAGCTCTATTTTTTTAGTGTTCTTAATTAGTACATCTTGTTTATTGCAAACATAATCAGGCTTAATATTATATAACACTTTGTGTTTACATTCTTTCATAAACTTTTGATTTATTTTCCTATTGGTATTTTTGCTGTTGAATATTTTGATGTGATTGAGTTTTTGTTATTATGCTTGTATATTCAATCTATTTTATGGACCGATTCTTCGCATAACAGAGAAATGTTACGGCATAGCTATGTTACGCTCCGACTCCCATACATTATGCGAATGAATCATACTGAATGCTGTCAAAATATCATGTATTTGCTGTTCATTCCGGCGTTTTAAGCATAAACTGCAACGTCACTCGTATGTTATTTAAGAGGAATCAGAAACACACACTTATCTAACATCGTTTTTTTGACATTTGTGCGGCTTTTAGGTTATGTTTTGCATCAAAAAACCTGAGAAATTTGCCTGACTGAACACCAACCGCATAACTTTTGTCTATATTACTATGGAAAATTCTTCATAACATGACCTTATCATAACATTGCGGCAGAATCGGTCCCTTAGTCTTTACCTCCTTTGAGAAATTTTATTATGCGGATTTATTTTTTGGTACTGAATAAAATTTTCGTAATTGTATTTTTTGCACATTTGGTTACTTTTTCTTTTGTGGTCATCATATTGTTGCACTCTTGCGGCATATTTGAATATTGTGCTGTACGTTTTCCTTCATTAAAAGTTCTACTTCAGAAAGAGAAATCTTCCAGATCATTATGAATATACTCTTTTTCTTGGTTACAGCAGTATTGGGAGAGAGGATTAAAAATGTGATCAAAAAAGTTGCCAAGCTAATTGTATTTATCCTGTTTACTTCTGGCCCATCTGTCTGCATTCTTTATGGCTAGTACGGCGATGATTGGTTGTTTAAAACTATTAATAACTGTTCAAAGTGATTAGTTTGTGTCAGCTAATAGATTTTTAGTTAGTTTTCATAGATAATTTTTGAGTTTTTTTAATTTTGATTTGACCATCGGTGATTTTGTGAGTTGCACTGCTTGCAAAGTCTTCTTTTAAATGACATTTTTAACTTCCCGAAGAAGAAGTTTATGTTTTCATAAAAAAAATTCGAATCGCTAATTTTATGTTTTCTCGACGTTTCAAACCATCCTGAATCGAATGAGACCAAATTTGGAAAAAGTATGTGTGTGTGAATAGATTTTTTGCCGTAAATCGACGTTTGTTTTCAAAAACGGCTTGACCGATTTCAAAAATTTAAAAGCCATTCGATGTATCTCGTTTGTCGGTTTTGCGCTATGATCGGCCGAGCCGTTTCTCTGTAGATCGCAGAAAAGTGAAAAATTTTTTGTCCACGTTTTAGCCCGCAATTCTGAATAGAGATCGGCCGGGTCGTTTTCTTGTAATAAAGTGTTAAAAAAATTTTTTCGACGATTTTTATTATTATTTTTTTGACTGTGAATACAATATTCTTCTAGATCATACGAAAATATTACGGCCCTACGACAACTTTAGGCAAACATATTTAAACGTCATTGTCCAATTTATAAGCACTTTTATTATGTATACAAATTCCACTGATAAAAGATACACCACAAGTTTTAGGCATTTAATTAATATAGTAAAACTAATAATGTCTAAAAATTTCAAACTCCGTGAGTTTATACATATAACTATAAAATAAATATTTTCGCATTCAGAATTTCTGAAGAATCGTTTCGGGCGCATCGCGCACTGCTTTGCATCCGAACGAACTCTATGCAATTGCAGGGTAATATTAGCGTTACGCGCGGGTATACTGGCTATGTTTTTTTTTCAATTTTCCAATGTGTTCCACCAAATTGATTCGAACAATATTTGCAGTACTTAAAGAAGAAACTTTAGGCTTTCGTATAACGCTAATTAGAAAGTGGTCCAACTAAAAATTATTTTGTCTTTTTCAGCTAATAATAAACAATTTTTTCGCATCGATTGTTCTACATAATGTGGTCTGAGTCAATGTGAATAGAATCACGTAAAATAATTTTCGATATTTTTTATGGTTACGCAAAAAAGTGAGTTTGAAAGAAGAGGCCACTTTGGCATATTTTCAATGATAAGATGAGGTAAGATTGGTATATCTGTTTTTATTTAGACCTATAAAATGGCGCATAAATTATTTAAATACCAGGTTGGGGCCTATTCTGTATGGTAATGCGCCCATACCCATCTCCTTCGATTCAGAATGGCCGAAACGTCGAGAAAACGAATCGGATTTTTTTATGAAAACAAACTTCTCCTTCGGAAAGTTACAAATTTGGTCAAGATGTCATACGTTTGCATTTGTGTACAATGCAATGCAGGCAGTGCCAAACATATTGGTACATAGACAAAAAAAACTCTCAAGAAAATTAATCAATAAATTTTATTAGCTAAACTATATTAAATGTTAAAAGTCCGAACGAAGACGATATTGATTAATATCTAGTTATTTGAGATTAAGTTAATCTTTATACTTCAGTCATAAATACTAAAAATTTATCCTGTTATAGTAAGTGCTCTGAAGTCTCTAAAATATTTTTATTATTTAAACATAAATATTTTTGATATTCACCGTTTTCCATCCAGCCCTAGAAGCAGCTAAAAGCAAAGGCGATCTTCCTTCCTTGTCCAAAGGATTTATATCTGATCCTTCCTTGATTAAATAATGCACAATTTCTGGATGATCAAACATTGACGCGCAATGCAGTGGCGTCATCTTTTGGACGTCACAAGAACGAAGACTAGAAAATTTTTCTTGAGGCTGCATGGCAAACATTAGTTTCACGATATCTGAAAAAAATTGCAATATTATAGCTAGTTAAAACTTCTAGTTCTATAAAAAGAATTGATAAAAAATTAAACAACATATTTATAACTAACAAAAAGTAAGTAAATATACTATGGGTACATGGCATCGTGCCTTAAGGCAAATTGCTAAAACTTCCCATACTGAAAACTACCTTTTTCAAAGCAATCGCACTGCATAGCTGTTTTAGGGTCGATTTGCAACGCGCGGAAGCGCCGCGTAGTCGTCTAACATGTAAACATTGGTTCGGAACCCATATAACTATGTGTTAATATGATGTACATATGTCTGATGACCATTCTTGACAGCCAAATTGTTGGCATTGCTTTTCTAACTTCCCGTAGGATAAGTTAATCGTCCAAATTGAAATCGTCTTTGTAATCGTCCAAAAATCGAAATTGGAAATATTTACATTTTTTCACGTTTTGTAGGCTTCCGAACATGTTGGCATACCTCAGGAAAAATGGATGGGTGTATGTGTGTGTATGTATGTACATAAACCTTCAAAACGTCGACATAAGCAAAAATGTTCATTCTTTATTTTTGGCCCATTACTATAACTACCCTACGGTAGTATAAGATGTTTTTTAAATTGTTTACATCGGATGCTCCGTTATCTCAAAAACTGAAATACCATTTTTGGCACTCTGGCACTTTGCCCCGTATCTTCGAAACAGCTAGAATTGCCATTGCCAAAAACGAATGAGCACGTCTCCTTATCAGTAGAAATGAAATGTTTTTTAAATTATTTAAATCCGTGTTCTCGAAATCGCCGACGAAAAATTGTATTCGTACTACATGTATACATACAATCAGACACACGCACACACGCATAAATACAACCATTTTTTATAAGGTATGCCAAAGATATATACAAATTTTCATTCTCGATTTTTTTGCGATTACTATAACTTACTTACCCTACGTGAAGCTAAAAAACCTTATCCCTAAAAAGAGTGCGTTTTAAAGATTTCTGAACTGTAGAAAGGGCGCATGCATGTGTGGATACAAATTTTCAACGGCAACTTTGATTGATATAATGATTAAGAAATTGTTTGCAAAATAGTGTTGTCAATAAAAATAACAAGATAACACAATCATAACATGACAATCAAATCACGTTAAAATCAACTGAAAAACTAGTGGAGTGCATGGCATCGTGCCTTAAAGCAAATTGCTGGAACTTCAGGTACCGTGATTAAAAATTCGAGGAATAAAAATAATCAATATTTTTTTTAAATAATTTCAAATAGATTATTTATATAAGCACATACTGTAAATTTAAATGTGCTTATTGGGCGACGAGCGTATTCTACAAACAATTTAGGTGTATGCTTACAAGTAATTTCTTTAATTTTTTTTATATTTGATTTTTTTATAATTTTGGAATTAAAAAACAATCGTTTTTCTTTCAAGTTTTTGAGAATTTGGAAATTCTTGAAAATGTCCGGTTTTAATGAAAATTTCGAAATATTCTCAAATTTTCGTAAGAAATCGTTTTTTTTTAAATTTTGATGTTTTTCAAATTTTATGAAATTTAGATATTTTTTTTTAATTTTTTTTAAATCATTCTGCAATCTCTAAAAATAATTACATTTAACAGAGAATGCTGACAAGTTGTTTAATTTTTTTTTCAAAATGATGAAACATTTCAAAAATTTGAGTTTTCTGAAAAATTGATTTTTTTTTTGAAAATTTAATTTTTTTTTTGAAAATTTTCAAAACTATGAAATATTTGGTAAAAACATTTTTTGCTCACCGTCTACGAAAGCAAAAGGTTTTCTGAATTAATCTCATCGGAAGATGCGTTCTCTCAAAAGCTGCATGATAATTTTTACACCCTTTACGCTCCAAACCAGCAGAACGGCAAGAGTACCGAATGTTTGTTCAATAATACAAATCGATTACTCCATACTGTCGAAAATGTAGAGGACATTTGTATATTGAGAGTCCGTTAGACCTGCCTTTCCAAAAAATTTAACAACAGTTCCTCGTTTAATCAAAACAAATAAAATGTTATTTGAATTCGGACGCTCCGTTCTATCGAAAACTGAATTACAATTTTTATTTTTTTTGCCCCGTATCTTCGAAACGGCTTGACTTGCATATGCCAAAAACTAATCAGCACGTCTCCTTATCAATACGAATCAAATGTTTTTTAAATTATTCAAATCAGTTATTCCATACTGTCGAAAATGTCGAAGACATTTAATTCAACCATATAGGTGAAATTTAAAATTAAAAGTCTTTGTACGGAACCCCAAAAAAATTACAAAAAATGAGTACATATTATTAAAATCTCTATAAAATATCTGATAATTTAATGTACAAATGTCCAGTAAACATTTTTGAAATTTAATCAGTACTTCATCTTGTCAATACGCAAGTAAAAGGTTTTTTGAATTTTTAAAATCGGTCGCTCTGTTTTCGGTACGAATCGAATGTTTTTTGAATTATTTAAATCGGCTGATCGTTCCCGAAATTGTCGACGAAAATTTGTATCCGCACACACACACACGCACACACATACACACACACTTACATAGATTCTTTCTAAGGAATGCCAAAGTATTCAGAAACCTTTGAAACGTAATGATATATAAATTTTCTCATTTTCGATTTGTTTGCGATTACTATAACTTGCCCTACGGGAAGTTAATAATGACTACTTAATTGATAAGGCAGTGAATTTTTTAATTTTTATAACTACGAAAATAAACTAAATGGTTGAACCATTAACATCGGTTCTAAATTTATATTCGCTGTATCTACAGTTTATAATATAATCAAAATATTTAAGTTCTCAAGGTTAGAACTACATACCAGAGTAGCAAAATCCGGAAAATACCAAAAGTTAAGAAATAAAAAAGTTAAATCATAAAATTAGTCATAAATCAACAAGTCAATAATCATATTTTTATATGATTATTATATGAAATATACCTATGAATACCTATAATTTGGCGATCATTTAAGCTATTTGACTAAAGTTTATTTATTACATTTTAAATAATAATTATTTGTTTTTTTTTGTATGCAATAATTTAGTAAAGTTGCAACGACTGCAATATATATTTTTTACCTATGGCTCCTTGCGCACAAGCTAGATGAACAGGAGTAGACAGGTCATGTTGTTGTCTCGAAATTTTGGCTCCAAATTTCAAACAAAGCTCCACCGCTCTGATGTCTCCACCGTGGACTGCGGAATGTAATGGCACATTTCCTTCCGAATCATACAACGTAATTAGATCTTCTCTAGAACAACCTCGTGATTCGCCCCACTAAAAAATAAAAAAAAATAATATAATTAAAAAAAATTGAGTAGTTTTGGTAATTTTTTGAGCTACTATAATTTAAGTTTAATATCAATTAATATAAAAAAAACAGCTAAGTGTATTGCAGAAAACCAACCGCCGGTGATTTAGTTGCTCCAAATTAATGCTTTAAATATTGTAGTATAAATAAATATCAGAAAAATATTTCAAAATTGTTAACTTACCTGAAAAAAAACTTCCATGGTTTTGGAAGATGCATTTTTAGCGGCCTCGTGTATAGGATAGTAACCATTGTTACACGGTTTCTTTGGACAAGCATCAAACTGCGTTATCTAAAATGTAAAAGGTACATGTTGAATTAAACATGTATTATTATATGTAGGAATGTACTAAATGTATCAATATTAGGGCTTACAATACCGGGATTCCGTAATCCCGAATACCGGAATCCCGGACGATTTTTGTCCGGTATTCAATACCGGTATTGATGCAAATAATACCGGTATTACGGTATTACTAGTATTCTATCAAAAATTCAACTTACGCAAAACACATGTTTTAGTTTCTAAACTATGTATTGTGTATTGCCGACGATCAGCTGAGTGTGACACATCGACAAGCAGTGTCGGCAAGATAAAGCGATTCATTCAAAAGGGTTCATTTACAAAAGTTATTATGCGTTCACGTGCCTCGTTGCTATATCGAATTCGCTATCGATGATTTTTAAACATAATATACAATCGATGAGATATAATTCTTTATTTATTATATATAAATCATTTTACATAAGTAAGAACGGCAGTTGTTTAAATTGCGTGTCGCTGACAACATATTAAGAATTTGCGAAGTGTATGCATTCAACATAAGAATAGTCAACATTGTAATAATCTTTTATCGATGAATTGCACACATCGCAGTAATTCCCGAGAAATCCGAACGGGTAATAACTTGACTTGCACTCACACATATAAAGAAATTCTATTGATCATATTCAAAATCAAGGGAATTCCCTTAAACTAAATAAAATGTTACATAAAGCCGAAATGTAACTAAGTAGGCAGTTGTGTAAATTTCGTGTAGATAACATCTCAAAGTTGCGAGAAAATAAATGTTTATTATAAAGAATACCGGATATTATTGTGTAAATATTGTGTTTAATTTGAACTTATGATATTTATAAGTGAGTATATAAACCAAAGTTTTAAGTTAGTGTCTAATTAAAAAATATTAAAATAAATACTTCACCCGCGTGTGTGTTAAAAAACTCTAAGTCTAGAACAAAAAATAAAAAATGAAATTACTTTTTGTGAAAAAACAGGAATAAAAGGAACGAACCTACAAAATATGTATAATTTCTTAATTACAATTGTACCAACAAGTGTAAAATCGGATAGAGCTTTTTCGGCGGCTGGTTATATTTGTAATAAAATTCGGTCCTCGCTTGATAATCAAACAATTGATTGTTTATGTTTCTTAAAAACATTAGCCATGAATTATAATTTATTCTTTTCTTAAATATATTATTAAATAATAAATTCTTATTATAAATGTAGAATGTAAAATGTAACATAGAAAAATATATATTTTTACTGACACGTTTTTTGTTTCTATCTACTTCTACTCCTTATGTAATAAATAAATAATATGTACTAATTTCAGGACAATATTTGTTAGATTTCATATATTATTTGTTAATATGTCAATATAACAACTGAAGTAAGTAAAAATATAACTATTTAATTTTTCATCGACAATACCGGTATTAAAACCGGGATCCCGGAATTTCATTTTTCAAATATCGAATACCGGTATTCAGATTTTTGTACGGTATTGGAAGCCCTAATCAATATGAATATATCAGAAATTATTTTTAATGTGATACATTTTTTAAATGCGCCATTTGCATTCCGCTATTTGTATAAGAGTAATGTATAACATACCAAACAAATTTACAATTAATAAAAAAATGGGCTTCAATTTTCTACTTATATTTCACTGAATTATGTAGAAGTTTGTTACCACTAAAATTTGTTATTTTAACTTATTTGTTATACGTTTGGAATCGAAAAAGCCTTACAATTAAAACAGCAAACATAATTCTCTGCATATGGATTGTATCATATTAAATAATATGGGCCAATTTAGAATGTAGTATGGTATGGCGTGTTTTCCACATCGAAATACGCACAGTATATGTTAGCAAAGAGGGCATATAATTGTTTTTGCCATCCTTTAGGAAAAACTTTGTAATTAGCAATGATAAGTTAAAACTTTGTAATCATATTGATGTTTCATAGTGATGTTTTTAATAGGATTGTATACTGTCGGTATGTGTAAGTAATTTATCGAAAGTTAATATCTAATTATTGAGTTCCTTATTGACTTAGATGTGGAATCCAAGAAAGGTATTAGCAGATTTGCCGTCCTAAATATTTGTCCAAGATTGATGTTTGCATATCTGGTGGAGTCTACAAGCAAAGGCCAAGCCTACTTATTTGTTCTTCTTGGATCATAAGACTACATTATTCTGGTTATGTAAGTGTCAGTTATTTTAATGAAATCCGTCTTACGCGGGTAAATTTGCCATTTGTTTGTGTATTTGTAAAGATATTTGTGTTTTATATTTTTGTGATTCGCAGTCTGGGTCTACTGAAAGAGGTTTGAAATGCAGTATCGTCTGCAAATGTCAGTAATGATGTGTTTGTGTCAGCGGGACATTGCGTGTATATACATTAAACAAAGGATGAGCAAACCGCGGCCCGCGGGCCGCATGTGGCTTACCGGATATTTTTCTGCGGCCCGCCAAGCGTTTCTCAACTATAGATTATTTTTCTAGATATTTTATCAAATACATTAATTTTGTTTTCAGTCAAATATTGGTAAAAACTGTTGTTCACAGAGATATCTTTTTCTGATAAAATAAATATTAATTTAAATATTAGTTTAACAATATTGCAAGAATTTGCAATATTGCAAGAATTGAGAACTTGTCCGAGAACATAGCAATAACGCATTTTCAAATTTAAAATAATCAAACTAGCTGTAAGTGGAATTCTGTCTTAAGGCAATTAGGGCATCGTGCCTTAAGGCAAATTGCTGGAACTTCCCGTATCAAAAATTATTGTTTTTTAACGAATAACATTTTTGAAAAAAATTCACTCTGGAAAAATTAGATTTTTGAGGAACTATAAATTGGACAAAAAATTACTTTTTTTCGAAAACAAAAATTAAAAAAAAAAAAAAATTAAAAAAAAATTTTTTTTTTTGAAAAAAAAAATGTTTCTTTATTTTGACATATTTTGGAAGATCTGAACTTTTTTTCAAAGCAATCGTACTGCTTTAACTGCATAGAGACAAAATATAAAGCGCGTAAGCGCCGCGTCGCTGTCTAACGGATAAACATTGGCACGGAACCCATAGGAATGTAAACAAAATTTATACTTATTGGTAAAATCTTTATAAAATATCTGATAATTTGATGTGCATATGTCTAATGATCATTTTTGACCGTCAAATGGCATTTTTTTTTACTTTTGCCGTTAGATCTCCGAAACCGCTAGACCTGCCCTCATAAAAATTTGATCAATTCTTCATCTTGTCAATACAAGTAAAATGCTTTTGAGTTATTAAAATCGGATGCTCCGTTCTCTTGAAAACTAAGTTACCATTTTCGGCACTTTTTGCCCCGTATCTTCGGAACGGCTACCCCTGCGTTCGCCAAAAACTAATCAGCACGTTTCCTTTTGAATACAAATCGAATGTTTTTTGAATTATTCAAATCGGTTGATCCGTGTTCCGGAAATCGTCGACGAAAATTTGTATCCGAACACACACACATACACGCACATACACACGCACACATATCCATTTTTTCTAAGGTATGCCAAAATATTCAGAAACCTCTGAAACGTAAAGATATATAAAAATTTTCATTTTCGATTTTTTTGCGATTACTATAACTTGCCCTACGGGAAGTTAATAAGTATGTTTAATATAGTCGCGACAGTTAAATCACCGTAAATTTAAAAAATTTCTGAACGATGTAGAGCGTGTATATGGCGATAATTGTAGTACTTTCGTCATTATGACAAAGAAGAATAATATCTTCTGCAGAATCATATGTTTCACTTTTAATATTAAAAAAAAAATGTGAACAAATTTTAATTTACAGCTGTTTTCTTTGCCATTTAACATCGATATAGGTACACTTTATGAAAACCATCACAGAAAATAATCAGTTTGCAAAATAATACAGATTTGAAAAATGTATTTTTTCAGTAAACATCGAAATATTTTATAAAACTAATGTCAGCTCTGAGAAATTTTAGCTTTTGAAAAAAACGCAAAGAAAATTTTGTAAATTTTTTTTTTGGAAGTACGTATGTGTGCGAACTATTACACAGGTCCACAAAAGAAAAGTCGATGAAAAATAATTTATTTATTTAGAAAAATTTAAAGATAGAAAATTGTAGCAGTTTTTAAATATTTTGCGTCCCAATTTTGACTATGTGCGAAGGAATGGAAGGGAAAGTCAAATCGACCGAAGCGTTCCTAGTGGCTACTTTAAGCATTAATTTTGGCTATTATAACCGAAATTTCAAACAAAAACACATAAAATATTTGTTTATTCCAAATTTAAATAAGATAATTAAAAATGAGCCACTTAAGCTGTTGTGTAGTGGGCTGTAGAAATACCAGCAGAAAAAGTAACTGCAAATTTTATACAATTTCTACAGCTAAGTGAAAAGCAAATCAACGGGAAAAGTGGATCGCTGCGGTTAGAAGAATAAAGTATGTATCATAACCTTATTGTTATAAAAATACAATTCGGTACAATTGTTTTTTAATAACAATACAATACTATGAATAGTTGTAAAATTGTTATGTTTATCAAAAAGAAAATTTATAAGTCAATAAATTGTTATATTATCAAAACTTAATGCTTACTAGAAAAAATTGTTGTGAAAACAATGTAATTAATACAAGGCTGAAATAATGAAAAATATATATTTATATATTGTATATTCATTATGCATAACTATTATCTATATATTGATTTCATTTTATTATATAATAATTGTAATTTTATGATTAAAAGAAAAATAAAAGTTAGCATAGCGCTAAAATGTTTATTTTGCAAACAGTCTAATTAATGCAATGCTGAAATAATGCAAAATATATTTTTGTAGTGTTGACGGATCACCGTGGGTTTCCAATACAAGCCCTATGATCGCATTTGTAGTGAGTCCTACCTACTTGTCAACAAAATATCCTTCAATTTACAAGTCTCGAAAAGTTAATGTAGATTTTGCAATTTTATTTGATGGGTCTTGTCTTTATAATGATGTCTAAATCATGTCTTTATAATAATGTTTAAGTATTTAGTTTGACCAAAAATAACAAAAAATGAGTAAATTAATTTATTATTTACTTATTCTATTGATAAAATATTTTTATCATTATTATATTGTTTTCATTAAGTACTATTCCGATACTAAATTTTCATTAAGTTTTGAAGCACTTAACCTTGAAAATGTTTACTGCATTTCTTTGTTTATTATATTCAACTATGTACGTTGAAGTAAAACTTAATAATTTCAATACACATAAAGCGTTCACATTATTACTGTATCTTGTTTATTATTATTTATAATAGTTATTTAATTTTTTTTTAACTAACATTTCAAACATATAAAACCCATGAAAACCACACACTGATAGCCTCAATTAGTTCATATTTATTACTGCGCTGCAGGGGCGCTGCAGTCACCTCTGAGGGTATAGATTTATCTTCAGCAGTAAAAGATATGGTACATTGAAAAACATATGTCACACACCCAATTCAGACAACTATTTTTGTAGATCTGTGTTACTTTCGATCTATCCACCGATCAAAATTGAGCAAAACATATAAAAGCTGCATACACGCTGCTACTTCCCGCATTAAAAAAATTAAAATGAAGCACACGATTAAAAAAAAACGACTGGTATTGATCAGCTTATATAAAAAAGCAGTGCCAAATTGCTCATTAAAGTTTTCAAGTGAATTAGTTTTTCTGTTTAACTATTATTTGTTTTCATTTTGTATTAATTTTATATACACTTATAATATACACTCGTAATTATATAAAATATATACTTTTTTAACTTTGTATATTTGTTCTTTTCTTGTTGCAATTTTGTAATTTTGTTCCAATTACATTATTCCCGCGCTCAGTCAATAAATCTTTTTGACTTAAATTAAGTCAAATTAACTCAAAAGTCTGAACTAATATTAAATCACTTAATATTAGACCAGAATTTGAGTTTATAAAAAATCTTCAATATTGCAGAAGAATTTTCGGCTTTCCATTCTATAATTTTCAATATGAGTACAATGCAGTTAGAAAATAAATTTGAATGTTGGTCAGCAAGCAATGTAAAACAAATTCTGTTCTATTCAAATCCGATAATAAGGGGATGTTAATTATGCAACTTATCTCGCTTTGTAAATGAAACACCTAATTTCTTAAAAATCCATCGACCTATTGCGGAGAGTTTTAGTATTCCGCTCGTTCGTTAAAGGTTAATCGAAATAATGAGCAGAAAAAATACTTTACCAGAATTCTAGCGCACTCTTCGTGATCATAAATAGCTGCCAAGTGCAATGCGGTTCGCCCGTGTTCTCCACCTTTCTGAATGTCAATTTTAGTCTTGTGTTTTGCCATGACTCTGAGAGCTTCCACTTTATTCAACTCGGTCACCATATGCACTGGAGCCTGGTTCTTGTCGTTGAGGATTCCTGTATCGACTCCTCTGAAATTCAAATTCAAATTATATACAGAATTATTTTTTAAGTTAAAAAAGAACTAAATGTATAAAAAATGACAGTTTTTGAGTGAACTAACAATTGCTTTTAGAAAAAAAAAAAAATAAATTATTTTTTTTACAAAAATTTGTAAATCCATATAAATGCAACCGAAGTGCGTTACGATAGAATCGAGTGCCAGTATGTAAATAGAGATCTGTCGTTGTATGCGTACCGGTATCAACGTTGTATGCGCACCAGCATCAATGTTATATTCGTACCGATATCAACAAGGAAATTGGTATAGATAAAAAAAACATTTTAAAGTTATATCGTAGTACAAATCCTGATTTAATGACAAATGCCTGAATCAGAAGAATATTTTACCTTATTCCTTTAAAATATTAAAACAAATTTCAATTTATTATGAACAAAATTTATTGATTAGAAATTATTTCTATATTATTCGTAGTTTCTATAAATATTTGAAGTTATTGAAATAGAAAATATTTTTTCGGCAAGACAGATATTACAGCTGTTCAAAGAATAAGATTATATCGCCAGCGTAAAAGTAAAAAAAATACAAGCAATCAATAAATGTATGTTAATTTTAATTACATGAAGTTCTTCAAACACAACTAACTGATGAGTGAAGTTGAGGAAACAATATTTGTTTAGGCGTTTTTCAACATAATCCACTGTGTGAACAAATATTATAGAATTTATTAATCAGCAGTTACTTCATTTCTCTAATAAAGGTTCATTTCTAAATGCTAATTACAATGACAAACCGATCATGTCATATTTGAAGTATGACTTTAATTACATTATTGTTTTTAAATATTGTACATATTTTTAATGCAATTATAAATATATAATTTATAATTTATCATTATATAAATGTGTATAATGTTTGACACTAATAAATGTGTGCATCACGAGTGTTACCATATAACTAATAAACATTATTCAAAATTGTTTAATGATTTATTATTTAGTTATTATTGTTACTTAACCTAAATTTGCTACTTTGTACAGTGGCAAATAAGTTTTACTGTAATCGCGTGTTATTCTTACGCGCACTCTTTTTTGCATATTGAAAATAATTCAGATTTTAATTTTAATTCTGACTAAAGTTCTTAAAGCTCACTTTGAAGCTCACTATATATACTTTATATAAATAATTTTAACTTTCAGTTACAGTTTATATAATGCCTATAAATATTAGACAATTTTACAGTATTTATAATAATCTATTTGAAAACATTTAATATTCCTCAAGATTTCGTTATGGTACGGAAAGTTCCAGTAATTTGCCTTAAGGCACGATGCCGTATATCACTAGTTTGATTTGTGATTTCAATAATCATTTGAATTTTAGCGGACAGATTATGCTCCCGCGGATCATTTTAAATCCTCTTTGTATGAATAAATATAATTCCGGCTCTTTTTTTAATACATGATAATTATCTTTTATTCTGAAGTAATATCGAAAAAATGATATACTGATACATCCAAAGTCAACTCATATAGGGTTTAAATCATCTATTCCAAAACTGAACAGTAATTCCAATATGAATTTACACAGAAATATTAAGAATAAATTTGACTTAATAAATAGGATAGATGAAAAATATACAAATAGTGAAAGGGACAGATTAACAGTAATAAAAAGACAAGAAATTTTATGGATAAACGCTTATCAGAATACGTCAAGTTAGCCGACTGAAATAACAAAAACCATTAAATCAAGGACCTGAAAAAAGAAATTAAGAATACCATATCTTGGACAGTAATAAAAATAATAAAACAGAAGAAAGAGAAATGCAATTAAAACACGTTACATAACTGGCTGAAAATGAAAAGAAACAATACAATATGAGACAAAGAAAAAATGCGGGGACATAGAGTGAATCATCTATAGTTTAAAATGCAATTTACAGACCATTTGTAATTATTTAAACCGGAATAACACATCAGGTACTGGTAATAATAATAAAATAGAAGCAGTAAAGCGAATGACTATAATTTAGGTAAAAATCGTAAAATATCAACGGTTTCTTTCTCGTCATAGATTTAACTTTCTTTTCGAGACCTTTTTTTGATAGGTTTTATTGGATTGCACATGCAGAAAATGGTGGTTCTGACCATTTGCCATTTGCCAATTTTACTAAATATGCAACTCAATTTTATTACGAAAATGGAGTGAGTTTCTGCCATGTTTTAAAGTTTCTGCTCTAAACATACAAATTTAATGAATGAACAATGAAGAACTAGCATATTTGAATACTTCAACTATTCTTACTTTTAAAGTTAAATATAATTTCATACAATATGAAATCAATAATGCGGCCAAAGCACATTCATCAATATAAAATATTAAAATCGGATCCTTCTGTGATGTTAAAAAATATATATTTTATCAATGAGCACATACTCATACCATGGATTAACTAGTGGGGCGCATGGCATCGTGTCTTAAGGCAAATTGCTGGAACTTTCCGTATCAAAAATTATTATTTTTTTTGACATATTTTGGAAATTCGGAACTTTTTTTCAAAGCAATCGTACTACTTTAGCTGCATAGAGACGCAATATCGAAGCGCGTAAGCGCCGCGTCACCGTCTAACGGACAAACGTTGTTACGAAATCCATAAAAATGTAAACTAAATTGATACAAAATATCTGATAATTTGATGTGCATATGTCTAATGATCATTTTTGACCTCAAAATGGCACTTTTTTTTACTTTTTTTACTTTTTTTACTAGATCTCCGAAATCGCTAGACCTACCTACCCAAAAATTTAATCAGTTTTTTAACTTGTCAATACAAGTAAAAAGTGAATTATTAAAATCGGACACTCTGTTCTCTTAAAAACTGAGTTACCGCTTCTGGCACTTTTTGCCCCGTATCTTTGAAACGGCTAGATCTGCCTATGCCAAAAACTAATCAGCACATCTTCTTATTGACAGGAATCGAATTTTTTTGCAATAATTGTAATCGGTTGAACCGTGTTCCCAAAATCGTCGACGAAAATTTGTATCCGCACACGCCACACACACACACACAAATACACACATACATCCATTTTTTCTAAGGTATGCCAAAATGTTTTTTAAATTTTTTTGCGATTACTATAACTTGCCCTACGGAAAGTTAAAAATAAGTTGGCAATAAATTGCTATGAATTAACTATATCTAAAGTATATCTATATCTATCTTTAGTAAAGTTGAGAATTTTTTAACAACAATATTTGAGAGTTGAGAGTAAAAATGTAAATCAGCCGTCACCTTGATCCTTACGATTTTGGTATCGGGAGATAACGGATGAAAATCCATAACAAAAGTATTTTCTTTCGCTGTTAGTTATGTGGTTTAGTTTACGAGACCTCAATATAATTTTTAACTACACGTTATTTGATTGTTTTATAATAAATAATGTTTATTTTAAGTGAGATTCAAGAGTTTCTTGTTATATAACCACATTAAGAGCTTATTAACCCTGGCAAAATCGTATAAAATAAAAAATAGAACATAACAAAGTAAATTAAGTTAAATAAAGAAATTTTACAAAATATGAAATTCATAAACAGTTAGTCCTCTGCTGATGAATATTTCTGACAAAATACCAGATCAAGTATAAATAAATATATCTTATATCTGTGTGACAATGCACCAATGGAATTTATATTTAGCTTTAGTTGAATAATGAAGTTATCATTTTGTAAAATTCCTTCAAAATTAAAATAAGTTATTAAATCTGTTTGCCACCCGGCCGACCCAAGTTATCTCTTATAAAAAAAACAATATAGCAAATTTTTGAAAAATATTAAAAAAAAAAACACTTTCCTGCAATGTTGAAGTAGCTGGCAGTTTTACTGAACATAGTCAGATCGTTTGATATGTGTTGTTAGTTGTGATATAATTGGTTTGGTTCTCACAATATAATTTATATTTGCTCAAAGACAAATTAGACCTTTGTGCCCCGCACTACCCTAGTTAAAACTTCTCAAAAAGCAGGTCAAAGAAAAAACACTTAATTCATTTTCTACCTCTCCTCGCAGAAATTCGAAAATTTTGTTTAGCTCAGTATTTACTATTATACACCAAATCCAGAATTCAAAAAGAATGTGAAAAACTGGAGAAGTAATCAGTATTCGAACAGTTGGAATTTGTAATGACTCTATAAGTTAAAAAAACAAAAAAGACTTGAATTGCATTATACCATGTTTTCCATAGAAAATGTATAAAGCTTCCTGTATTACAACACTTAAAATAAAGTATTAATTGTTTTGATTCTCTAGAAATTGTGCAGAAATACCTCACTTAGCAAAACAACGTTTGTCGGGTCAGCTAGTATATATAAGTATATATTACGGAATATTTATTTTTCCTCAAATATCGTAACGATGACTAAGTTTCGACGTCAAAACTTATATTAGGAACTGCACAAGAATATTCTAGATCGTTTATTTTTAATTCTCTATATAAATTTGGATCGGTGTTGATTTTCGGATTAGTCTCAGTCAGTACAGTGTTTTGAAAAGTTATAACGCAAAGGTGAGATATTTAGTATTAGTTAAAGTGAAATGTGGAAAATTAAAATTCAAAATTGTTAGTGTTTATAATTAATTAAAATATTTTTAGTAATATAAAATTAAGAATTCACATAGATATAGTGTATCTTGCATCAGTAGTTGTGTACAAAGTGTATAATTTAGCACTAATAATTAGCAAATATCTCTAACTTTTATTTAACTTTAATGATTTTTTATCTATTAACTTTATTATCATAACTCTGCTTCACTAAAATTCTCTATTTAAAACATGAAAATTCTCTTCGTTAAACACAAGTTAGTGCATAAGTGAAAATGGTAAATTATATGCTTTGTGCACATCTACGGATTTAAGACACCAAATATATGTAAATTCCCATTTTATATTATTATAATTATTTTTCTATCTATTATGTTTTTTAATGTATAGTGTACGTGTATATACACACTTATATAGTAAGTGTTTGTAAACATATATACACTATAGTTATTAATGCACAAACACAAAACAAAACCATGATCAAAGAAAATATTTACTAACAAAAATTTGTTAGTGTTGAAAATATTAGTGATTTCATTGATAATTTTGTTTTGTGTTTGTGTATCAATAACTTATGTGGTAAGTTTCTATGTTTCATTATAATTCATTATTTTGCTAAATATTTTTTACTTATGTTACACATAAGTTAGTTTTACTTATTATTATTATTACGTTCAAGAAGAAGTTTATGTTTTCATCAAAAAATCCGATTTGCTAGTTTTATGTTTTCTCGACGTTTTAAGCCATTATGTATCGAATGAGACCAAATTTGAAAAAAGTATGTGTGAGTGTGCGTGAACAGATTTTTTGCCGTAAATCGCCATTTTCTCAAACACGCCTGGACCGATTTGAAAAATTTAAAAGTCATTAGATGTATCGCGATGAGGACTAGCGATTATCAATTTTGCGCGAAGATCAGCCAAGCTGTTTCTTTGTGAATAAATAACAGAAAAGTGAAAATTTTTCGTCCACGTTTTAGCCTGCAGTTCTGAAACTATTTTAAAAATTCAAAATTTGGTAGAGATCGGCCGTTTTCTTGTAATAAAATGATAAAAAAAAATTGTCGACGATTTTTATTATCATTTTTTGACGGTAGATACCGCAGTCTTCTAGACCATACTAAAATATTACGGCTCTACGACAACTCGTTTAACTTTAAAAATTCTTCAAAGTTTGCAAAAGTTAGTATTGTTTTTTGGTATTTGTCAAAATTAGACCTTTCATCGACGTTTGCTCAAAACTGCCTAGACCGATTTCAGAAATTTAAAAGCCATTTGATGTATCTCGATGAGTATTATCGTCTTTCAGTTTTGTGCGACAATCGGCCGGGCCATTTCTTTGTAATTTGAAAAAAAGTGTTGAAATTTTTGTCCACATTTATGCTCAGACAACCGAACCGATTTTGAAAAATCAAAAATTGTTCGAAAGATATTAATTGGGAATGATACTGATTAGTTTCAGGTGAAAATCTACCGAGCCGTTTTCTTGTTTTTAACTGTTGAAAAAAAAATTTAAGCCAATTTGTATAGAACTTTTTTGGCGATATATATCATGGTTTTATAAATCTTACTGAAATATTACGGCCTTACGACAAGTAGTTTAACTTTAAAAATTCATCAAAGTTTGAGAAAATGAGTAGTTTTTTGACGTTTGTTAAAATTAAAATTAAACGATTTACTTGGTATAACGATAGAGTACCTGGTCTTAATGAACATACTAAACCATTGAAGTCCCAAGGAAACTGGTTCAACTATAAAAATTATTGAATCGTGAAAATTTGCTTTTTAAAAATATTCCGAGTTGCCGTGTTCGTTCGTTTCCAAATATGTGTAATAAATTCACTCGGAATACTTTTAATAACTCTTTTTTTTTTTCATTGAGACGACTTGTAACTTGCTTCAAAGCAAAATACCAATACCAACTAGTTAACTCTTGCGTTTACTTATTTTATAATATTTATGTTACTTACCTATGTTATGATAAATTTATATATTTATCTTTGTCATTTTTTTAACTTCCCAGAGGGTAAGTTATAGTAATCGCTAAAAAAACAAAAATAAAAATTTCTGCATATCTTCACGTTTTGAAGGTTTCTGAACGTTTTGGGAAGCCTTAAAAAAAATGAATGTATGTGTGTATGGGGGGGGGGGTATGTATGTTTGGATACAATTTTTCGTCCACGATTTCGGGCAGACGAATCCACTAATTTAAATGATTCAAAAAACATTCGATTCCTATTGATGAGAAGACGTGCTGATTTGTTTTTGGTGCAGACAGATTCATTCGTTTGGGAGATACGGACAAAAAGTTCCAAAAACGGTAATTTAGTTTTTGAGAGAACGGTTTACCCGATTTTAATAATTGAACAAAAAAATGAACTTGTATTAGTAAAATAAAGAATTGGTGAAATTTTTGGTAAGGCAGGTCTAGCGGTTTTGAAGATACAGAGGAAAAAGTAAAAAATTAGTGGCGCATGGCATCGTGTCTTAGGGCGAACTGCTGGAACTTCCCTTACCAGAATTAAATATTCGAGGAAAAAAACATTAATCAATAAACTATGATTAATGATTAGATAATTATAATCACTATATATTTTATCGTTAATAAATTATACAGGAACGATCTTATCGCTTAAAGCATTTGAGAAACCTTATATTAGCAAGTGGTGGCGAATGAATCCACCTGAGGATATATTTCTTACGATTAGAATAACGCATTTTCTCTTATCATTTCCGTCAATTAGGTAAAATCGAAAAAAGAAAAAATCGAGAAATCGCATGTCAAAATTTTCGCTCCGCTCGTACACATGCTTGACGCTTGCTCACTATATCTTCTATAACTCGAAAATAATTTGAATTTTTTTCTGAAAATTTATGGATATATTTTTGGCTAGTTCTGGAAGATATTTTTGCAAAAAAAAGTTTTTTAGGCCTCTTATAAAACAATTAAATGACGTATACTTAAAATTTATATTAAAGTCTCGCAAACTAAGCAACAGTGTTTACAGCCGAAATTAACGAAAAACTGAAGAAAGCAAAATCTTTTGTTATGTATTTTCAAACATTGTCATTTATCTCCCAGTAAAAATGTCGTAAAAATTAAGGTGATGGCTGGTTATACACTTTATTTGTACTATTTTTAATTATTGTTGTTAAAAATTTCTTAACTTTTCTGGTTTATGAGATATCGGTGGTGAACCTTTTTACCCGCGGATATTTAAACCACGCATTACTTTTTATATACAACTCAAAACAGTTATAATCATTCTTATTAAACAAAATATTTTTTTTTCATTTCAGAACTTTCCCAACATGTCACTCGTTCCTCTTATGTTTCGCGACTGGTGGGATGACTTCGGAATCGATCATCCTTCTTCAAACTCTTTGACCAGCACTTTGGAATGGGTTTAAACAGAAACGATCTCTTATCCTCTTTTAGGAATAGTCCAACCTTACTGCGTGGAGGATATTTCAGACCCTGGAGAACAGAGTTGCTGAAACAAGATTCTGGATCTACTGTGACTGCTGATAAGGACAAGTTTCAGGTACGGAGGACCTTTGATCAAAAGTGATATTTTGAGAAAAGTTCTGCTAGACATTTTCAATAAGATAATGGTCTTGCAGAGCATCTGGTTGCAACGTTACTACAGGGTCCGGCACTCGAAGTATAACCAATTGAAAAAGCCATAAATTCAGTTTGGAAAATTACTTTTACTCGATTCAAAGTACAAAATGTGTAAAAATAATACAACTTCTAAAAACAATTCAAAGTGACTTGCAGGTATTTTGGCCCACTGGCGGACAACGGCTTTTTTTAGCGCCTCGAGACTGATGTACCCCTTAGTTCGGACCTTGTTCTCCAAAATGGCCCAAAGAGAATAATCCATAGGATTTGCGTCTGGTGAATTTGAGAGCCATTGTGCGGACGTTTTGAAGTTCGAAATCGTTGTTTTTCAGCCATCCTTGGTTCACTCGAGCTTAAGCAGACGGTGCCGAGTCCTGTTGCAACGTCCATGGTCTGCCACCGAAGTGTTTATCTGCTCATGGCTTCAAAGCAACCTTCAGAATACTTTACCAATAATATTGCGCATTTACCTTGGCGTCAGGCTCGATAAAAACGATTGAAGATCGCTTATCTGCGGTTACAGCAGCCCAAACCATTTTCTGTGGCTGGTGCTGCCTCCTGGTGGCCAATTGATGACTCAAATTCTTGTCTGAACTGTCGGTCAAGTAAACCCTATCCTTTTGAGAGTTTACGAATTGCTCAACTGGAAAACACAATGTTCGGAAATTTACCACGTTCGGCCAAATGCGATTTGTTTTTGGACCTTCTAAAGGCCATAGTCAAAGCAAAAGGTGGTCATATCGAGCAAAAGTGAATTGTTTTTAAATGTTGTATTATTTTTACACATTTTGTACCTTGAATCGAGTAAAAGTAATTTTCCAAACTGAATTTATGGCTTTTTCAATTGGTTACACTTCGAGTGCCGGACCCTGTGGTATATTAAATTTCACTTCAAATTTGATGGTCTAGTTCAAATTTGATTTTGTTATATTATATTATTATAAAATTGCGTAATTTACTAGAAAGGTTGATGTTTTTGAACCAATAATCTTTTTTATGGTGTGATAATTGTTATTTCTACAAATTCACTAATACACGACTATTCAAAATTACAGAACACAATCACACCAGGCGTGTTTGAGGTAAATAGAATTTGTTTCGAATTTACTAAAAATATTAAATTATGATTCCATTCTTTACTTTTAATCTGAACAAAACTATTTACTAACCAAGCTTTAGTAAACTGAATTTAACTAACTAATCTCAATTTTAGGTTATACTGGACGTCCAGCAGTTTAGCCCAAAGGAAATAACAGTAAAAACTCAAGATAATTTTGTGATCGTTGAAGGAAAACATGAAGAGAAACAGGATGAGCACGGTTTTATTTCAAGGCACTTTGTTCGCAGGTAATTATTTTATATTTAGCTACATACAAATACAAAGACAAAAAATAAATTAAAACTACACTATACTAATTAAAAATAAAAAATTATATTAAGTTAAAAAAAGCAATTTTGCAAAAGATAAATTTAATAAATATTTATTCCAACTCCGATGATGAATATTTTTGACCAAATACTAGATCAAGGTTATTTACAGTGTTACTGCGCCCACGTAACAAATTTTTGAAAAACTGCAAAAGCCACATTCTACAATGAGGAGGGTTGGAAGTTTTACTGAATATAGTTGTTAACGCCTAAGGTTCAACCCTATTCTAAATCATTCAAATATATTTTAATACCTTTCTAATAGGATAAGCATTGTAATGTATCCTGTCCCTTGCAGACCCTCAAATATTAATCCTTTCTTCCAAGAAATATTTTTTCCTTGAACTCGATTCAATCAAATCGCTTTGATGTCGCTTAAATCCGCAAAACGGGCCAATCAGAAAAATAATATAAAATTATCAAATATTTGTAATCAGTAAAATATCAATCTTCATCTAAGTAACAGTCTAAAGTCAACATTCAAACAAATAATTCAAGTGAATAATTTAATTTAGCTCAACTTTAGATACATATTATTAACTTCCCGAAGGAATTTAAGTTTTCATAAAAAAATCCGATTCGCTAATTTTATGTTTTCTCGAGGTTTCAAGCAATTCTGAATCAAATGAGACCTGGAAAAAGGGTGTGCGTGTATGTGAACAGATTTTTTGCCATAAATCGACGTTTTCTTAAAAACGGCTAGACCGATTTCAATGTAATGAGGTGTTAAGTTTTTTTGTCGATTTTTGATTTTTTTTTTACCGTAGATACCATAGTTTTATTGATCATACTAAAATATTACTGCCTTGCGACAAGTCGTTCAATTTTAAAAATTCTTCATGGTTCGCAAAAATTAGTATCGTTTTTTGGCATTTGTCAAAGCTATACCTTTCATCGACGTTTGCACAAAAACGTCTGAACCGATTTCAAAAATTTGAAGGCCATTTGATGTATCTCAATGAGAACTATCGTTTGTCAGTTTTGTTTTTGTTTCTGTTGTAAAAAAATTAAGCCGATTTTCATAAAACTTTTTTGGCGATATATATCATGGTCTTATAGAACTAACGACAAATAGTTTAATTTTTAAAATTCATCAAAGTTTGAGAAAGTGAGTAGTTTTTTTGACGTTTTGAAATTCAAATTAGACGATTTACATGGTGTAACGATAGAGTACTTGGTCTTAATAAACATACTAAACCATTAAAATCATACGGAAACTGATTCAATTAAAAAATTATTGATTTTTGAAAATTTGATTTTAGAAAATACTCCGAGTTGAAGTATTTGTTCGTTTTCAATTATGTGTAATAAATGCAGCCGGAATACTTTTAATCACTCATAAATTAATTTATTATTATGGATTTAGTCGATTATTTACACATGTCAGGAAGTTCATGCAACTTGCCTCAAGGCATCGCTCTTAAATATTGTCATTTTAGCTCATAAGAATCTTTATGTATTTCTGATTGCTAAATAAAACTGAGTTAAAAAAAAGAAAAAAAAAACTTGCCTCAAGGCAAAATATCAATTCTAACAATTAAAACTAGCTATCATCTTTATCATCATCTATTTTCTTTCTAATTTAATCGGTCTGATATAGCCAATAAGTATATCTATTCCTTCAGTCAACAATCGACAAAAAATGTACATTTTTAATAGAATTCGGCAGCATCTCGGTGAATCACAAACTTCTATATCTATCAAATTTTTAATCTATCTTGTGAACACAACAATAGTCATATAGTTGTTTGCTTCAATTGTGTTTTAGCCGGGATATAATTACAATTGGTTTGATTTCACAATTCAATTGTTCAAAGTCAAATTGAACTTTTGTGCCCCGCTTTACTATATATAAACTTAGAAACAAATTTCCTTTTTCAGGTATATGCTGCCGACCGAACACAATCCAAACGACGTCGTATCGAGTCTCTCATCTGATGGCGTTTTAACAATCACAGCTCCTAAAAAGGCTTTGCCGCCCCCTAGTACCGAACGTGTTGTACCCATAACTCAAACAGGGCCGGCTAAGGAAACACAGGTGCCCGTGGAACAGAACAAAGAATAAATATTATAAAAAATACATATACATATATGTTTGATAATAAGAAAATATTGGTTTTAACATTTAATGGATAAGAGACCTCTGATGTGAAAGAGCATCCCTGAAATTAAGTTTAATGTATGAATATAATATTTTTTTTATATTATTTTTAGTTATTTATTACTAGAAATTATAATTTATTATGAACTAAATTGTAACTATAATTTGTATAAGTTGTATAAGAATTTTTGTAAATTTATTTTTGTTTAATAAAAATTTTGAAGCTCATCTTTCATGTTGTATATATACATATGTATTTTATATAAACCCCAATGTGTTCTGCCAACCATTCTTGCAAACTAAGTACGAACGAAGAAGGAAACGTTAAAGCTAATATGTTAACGCCTCATTCCCAACCCTGGTATAATTATTATATTTTATTATCTTCATGCAGGATAGCGATAATAAACCCTCATCCCTTATTATATAATTTAAAACGATAAAATAATCCCTTTCATTGTTACGCATCCTGTCCCAAAATCGGTCATCATATCAGTAATTCATTTTTCCAAGAATTTTTATCACCTGTCCCTAACTATATCATCCTGCAATTAAATATTTCCAAGAAACTCGCATTACGTGTACCCAGTTTTAATTCTAAGAATCATGCAATAACCGACCAATACCTGATTGGTTGACAAATGTAACAGCTACTGATTGGATCCAAAATTGTAATAGGATGTCATTAATTCTACAAAATGGACCAATCAGAAAAATGTAAAATCTATATAATTTAGTGTCAACTAAAATATCATTAACATCTATCAGTCGTAAATTAACACTCAAAGCTATAACATCTAAGTCAAACTTCAACTATCTAACATATCAAGTCTTAATATTCTTTCAAATAAACAATAATTAAACATTTATTTATCATTTTTTATTAACTTCCCGTAGGGTAAGTTATAGTAATCGCAAAAAAATCGAAAATGAAAATTTTTATATATCTTTACGTTTCAGAGGTTTCTTAACATTTTGGCATACCTTAGAAAAAATGGATGTATGTGTGTGTGTGTGTGTGTATGTGTGTGTGTGGGTGTGTATGTATGTATGTATGTGTGTGTATGTATGTGCGGATACAAATTTTCGTCGACGATTTCGGGAACACGGATCAACCGATTTTAATAATTCAAAAAACATTCGATTCGTATTGATAAGGAGACGTGCTGATTAGTTTTTGGCGAAGGCAGGTCCAGCCGTTCTAAAGATACGGGGCAACAAGTGCCGAAAACGGTAACTCAGTTTTTAAGAGAACGGAGCGTCCGATTTTAATAATTCAAAAAACATTTGACTTGTATTGACAAGATGAATAATTGATCAAATTTTCATAAAGGCAGGTCTAGCGGTTTCGGAGATCTAACGAAAAAAGTAAAAAAAAATGCCATTTGGCGGTCAAAAATGATCATTAGACATATGCACATCAAATTATCAGATACTTTATAGAGATTTTAACAATAAGTATAAATTTTGTTTGCATTCCTATGGGTTCCGTACCAATATTTATTCGTTAGACGGCGACGCGGTGCTTACGCGCTTTGACATTTTGTCTTTATGCAGTTAAAGCAGTACGATTGCTTTGAAAAAAAATCTTCCAAAATATGCCAAAATAAAGAAAACATTATTTTTTCCAAAAAAAATTAAAAAAAAAAAAAAAATTATATTTTTTTTTGAAAAAAATTTATTTTCAAAAAAAAGTAATTTTTTGTTTAATTTATAGTTTATCAAAAATCTTATTTTTTTGAAGTAAATTTGTTATAAAAAAGGCAATCGTTTTTAAAAAAATAATAATTTTTGGTACGGGAAGTTCCAGCAATTTGCCTTAAGGCACGATGCCTTAATTGCCTTAAGACAGAATTCCACTCACAGCTAGTTTTTATTATTCAATCGGTCTGATATAGCCAATAACTAAATATATCTGGTCCTTCGACAAAGTGCAAGTGTTTCAATAGAGTTCGGTAGCATCTCGCCGATCACGGACATCTTAAACACTTTTAATCTATCTTAAAAACATACCTTTGGCCATTCAAACCCAATGGTCAATTTACTAAACATAATATAACTAGTGGGGCGCATGGCATCGTGCCTTAAGGCAAATTGCTAGAACATCACAATTACATTCATTTTTTCTAAGGTATGCCGAAATGTTCTGAAGGTTTTGAAACGTAAAAATATATAAAAATTTTCATATTCGATTTTTTTGCGATTACTATAACTTTCCCTACGGTAAGTTAATAAACCATTGAATTGGGATTTCAAACTGAAGGATAATGGTCAACACTATTGATATTTTTTTGTAAAGTTAATACAATTTTTTGCAAAATTTGCCGTTTTGGAAGTATGGAGCGCAAAGGGTGTAAAAACGATTATGCAGTTTTTGAAAGAACGGATCATCCGATTAGATTAATTCAAAAAACATTATGCTTGAGTAGACGGTGTGCCAAAAATACATTTACAGATAATTTAATAATTTTTCAATAATAAAAAAATCGAAATTTTCAAAAACAATTCAAAGTTTCAAAAAATTTAAATTTTCGAAATTTTTCATCATTTTCAAAAGAACTAAATTTTGAAAAAATTAAATAAAAAATGATTTCTTACAAAAATTTGAGAATATTTCGGTAAATTAAAAAAAATCGAATATTTTCAAAAATTTCCAAGTTCTCGAAATATTTAGAAACTTTTTTTTTAAATTCCAAAAAATTTCAAACTTCTAATAAAATTTCAAAATTTTCAAAAAATGTCTAAATTATTAAAAAAATCAAATTTAAAAAAATGGACACTTGTGAACGTACACATAAGTTGTTCATAAAATACGCTCTGTCGCCCAATTTAAAAAGCATTTATAAGTTTACAGTATGTAACAAATAATCTATTTTAAATGATTCAAAACAAGCATTGATTATTTTTATTTTTCAAATGCTTAATTACGGTACCTGAAGTTCTAGCAATTTGCCTTACGGCACGATGCCATGCGCGCTGCTATAGTTTTCTATTCTATCGTCGTATTTCGAGCTCTTTTGTTATGAAGACATCTTTCGCCGGTTTTAAGATATTTATGAATACTTAACAAGGATGACGATTTACAAAAAAAAAACGCAATTAGGGTAGGGCGGGGCTAGTTGAGCAAATTTTTACTTAAACGGATGTAGCTCCTCAATGAAAAGTCTCAATAAATTGCTATACGGCTTAATGGATTTGTTGTTTATCGCTTAACAAAAGTGTTAATAGTATTTTTTGGTAATAAGTGAAATTTAAAAGCTACAGATGTTTAAATGCAAAAAGTAAAGTATGCTCAATGAACCCCTAAGAGCACTAAGAAAGTATAATAAAATCATAGGTTCAATGTCGATTAGTGATGAAATAAGTTTTTAATAACCAGTTCTATATTTATAGTCTTTATTGACAGAAAAAACAAAAGTTATAGAAATTTGCTTTGAATAATCAACGAAAAGTAGAATCAACAAAACAATATCGTATCTTAGGAATTATTTTACCATTATATTCAGTATTTTTGTTTAAAATCATTATTTCTTTATATTATTACTCATAGACTTAGCTTAAATCTTAAAAATAATAATTCATTCCTGGAAGTTAATGGTAATTGTCTTAGTGATAGAACAAGTTTAGCAACTATGCTCAACTAACCCCTACTCGGAATTTCAAAATAAAAGTGAGTTTATAAAAAAACTGTGAGAATTATACCCAAAATCTCTGCGCATATTTAAAGTATTATAATTATATGGAAGAATAACATTTACCTGATTAAAAATAAATAACATTTTACTAAACCAGACGTAAACGCATGATGAATTACTTTTTTACTTTTTGGTCTCAAAATAAACAAAACGCTCATGAGCCTCACTCATTTGTCCAGCGGCCACTACCGATCGCGGGATGTTTATTTATCCCAAACCTCTATCTTTCCGCCATATAATGCCTAAACGGACGGTGAATAGTTTTTGAGATATTTCGATTGTTCAACTTGCTCCTATGCTCAACTAGCCCCGCTCTACCCTACTTTCGGACACCAGTACTTATACGACCATAAATAACGACCCAACCGAACATATTATCTGCGCCTGTATAAACTTGTAAACAAATTAGTAAATAAACAAATCACAAAAAATACAGCAACAAACCTTTAAAAATTTATATCCATACTCTCCAAGATTCCTAAAATATACAAAATAAACTTACCCTATAGAAATTTGAAAATTTAGAGAAAAAAACTGAAAATTTTTAAATTTGTTTGAACCACATAAGTGAACTTTAGTACGAAACCCAAAAAAACTATAACAAAATCAGTCCACATGTTTAAATAGCTTTATAAGATATCTGATAATTTGATGCGCATATGTCTAAAGATCACTTTCGACCGCCAAATATTTTATTTTACTTTTTTCTCTGTATTTCTTAATCCACTAGATCTGCCTTACCAAAAATTCGATCAATTCTTCAATTCGCCAATAAAAGTAAAATGTTTATTTGAATCATTCAAATCGGGTACTCCGATTGAACGTTCTCTCAAAAACTGAATTAACATTATTGGCACTTATTGCTCCGTAACTTCGACACGATTCTATCTGTTTTCATCAAAAACTAATCAGCTCGCCTTCTCATCAATAGAAATTGAATGTTTTTTGATTCATTAAAATCGGTTGATTCGTGCGCCCAAAATTGCGGACGAAAAATTGTATCCAAACATACACACACACACGAACACACACATACATCTATTTTTTTTAAGGTATGCCAAAATGTTGAAAATCCTTCACAACGTGAAGATATGCAAAAATTTTCATTTTCGATTTTTTTGCGATTTCTATAACTTACCATACGGGAAGTTAACATAACTTTTATTTCTCTTATGTAGATAATATAATTACAAGTATACCAGGAAGAGATATTAGTACCTTTACGGATAATTTTAACAACTTTAATAGAAAACTGTAGATGACCGTGGAGTTAGCGATAATGAATTTGATTAGCTTTCTAGACATCAGAGTGATACGTACAAATGACCACCGACTAATTACCATCTGGTAC